CTCCTGCCTCAGCCTCCTGAGTAGCTGGGATTATAGACAGGTGCCACCACACCTGGCTAATTTTTGCATTTTTAGTAGAGACATAGTTTCACCATGTTGGTCAGGCTGGTCTCGAACTCCTGACCTCGGGTGATCTGCCTGCCTCAGCTTCCTGGAGTGCTAGGATGACAGGCGTAAGCCACAGTGCCCAGCCAAGTCATGATTTTTTAATCCTTCAAATAATTGAGAATTACGTAACTGACATTTAAAATAGTAAATGTGTATGCTAAAGGTTGTTATACCGTAGTCCACCAATACCTGCCCTTCCGCTTTCCACAGTTCCAGTCTCCTCAATCGACGTCCGAACATAGGCGAGTACAGCACAGTAAGGTATTTTGAGAGAGACCATATTACCAAAACTTTTATTACAGTATAGTGTTATAATTGTTCCATTTTATTATTAGCTATTGTTGTTTATCTCTTCCAGTTCCAAATTTATAAATTAAACTTTACCACAGATGTATATGCAAAGGAGAAAGCATAGTATATCTACAGCTCAGTACTATCCAAGGTTTCAGGCATCCATTACGGTTCCTGGAACTTGTCTTCCACAGATAAGGGGGACTACTGTAACTGTGACAGCTGCTGCTTTGGGGGCCTAGACTGGATATGGGTCTTGGATGGATGAGCAAATGCTAGCCTATTATGATAAAAATCATTCACCCACTCCGCTGGCCATGCTTTCACAAGTGCCTTTTGCAAAAGCGATGCAAGACAGCTTAGAGCCCTTTAACATTCACTTCCAACCCAAGCCTGTGGTCACCGCTGGAGGATCCTAGTAGGGATGTTTTATTCTCATGCAGTTCCTTGTCTGGTGTCCCTGGCACCTGTCCATTGCCTCGTCCCTACTTGACTCTCCACAGTGATGCACTGATCACACTGGCTACCCAGCTGTCTATTTCCAATTAGCCTCAGACACTGGCTTGACCTATCCTGGCCTCTTGGTCTTTAGCCCTTGGTCCAGTCCAGCGTTGGTCCGACAGCCCAAATGTTCCACGAGAGACACAGCTAAGTAAATTTTATCACCTCCACTCAATGCAATGCTAGGTAGCCCTTACGCAGTGTGACTATTTATGAAAACAGACTGGGCATGGTAGCTCTCGCCTGTAATATCGGCACTTTGAGAGGCCAAGATGAGAGGATCGTTTTAGCCCAGGAGTTTGAGACCAGCCCAGGCAACATAGCAAGACCTTCCCTCTACAAAAATTCAAAAATCATCTGGGCATGCTGGCTCACACCTGTGGTCCCAGTTATTTGGGAGGCTGAGGTGGGAGGATCACTTGAGACCCAGAGGTCGAGGCTGCAGTGAGCTCCGATCACACCACTGTCCTTCAGTCTTGGCAACAGAGCGAGACCTGGTCTCAAAAAACAAACACACAAAAAAGGACTGTGAAAAATATGCTTTTTTTCAAAATGTTTACAGTTCAAAAGAATCTCTAAGGCATATTCTGTGGCGAAAAGTAGGGGACTCTGAGGCCCCTTTCTTAGGTCTGACTGCCACCTCATGGTTGACCAGAGCGGGTCCTGTGATTGCTGTCTGCTCAGCCTTGATGAGCAGCACATCTGTTCAGCCCCACTCTGTCCTTGGTCACCTCAAACAAACATCAGGGGCCCCAAGGGAGCCAAGAGTGTTCTGAAAAGGGTAATTTCAGAATCTACCGATTAGGACCCCAGCACATTCAGGCAATTTGTGCCCCACTGCAGACTCACCATGTGTATACATGTCCATAAAAGTTAACATCTGTGCTAGGAAAGATACTGTTCCTTGGAATAGCCCCATGCTCTTGTCTTGGAGAAAATGCAGACCAGTTTGAAGCCACTGTGGCTTATCTCCCCAGAACTGACTTTCACACAAAGGGCTTTTAATTTTTTTTTAATTCCTCGTCAGATTGCTAGCAACAGTAGTACCATTTGGTGTCAGAGTTCTCTCTAGAGAGAATTGTTTTCTAGTTGCATTTGACCAGACAACTGTAACAGGTGGGACACCTTCTGATTTGAGATTTTATATTATATGAAAATAAAATCAGCACACAGTATAATATGAAAAGAGACATAGAAAAAATGGACAACACACTACACAGAGTATGAAAGGTAGATATTTATTTATCTATCTATTTATTTATTTATTTATTTTTTGAGACGGAGTTTCGCTCTTGTTACCCAGGCTAGAGTGCAATGGCGCGATCTCGGCTCACCGCAACCTCCGCCTCCTGGGTTCAGGCAATTCTCCTGCCTCAGCCTCCTGAGTAGCTGGGATTACAGGCACGTGCCACCATGCCCAGCTAATTTTTTTGTGTTTTTAGTAGAGATGGGGTTTCACCATGTTGACCAGGATGGTCTCGATCTCTTGACCTCGTAATCCACCCGCCTCGGCCTCCCAAAGTGCTGGGATTACAGGCTTGAGCCACCGCGCCCGGCCCAAAAGGTAGATATTTAAACCGTCATCAGATACTCATTACTGCTTATTAGTAATTCCATTTATGAGACATTAAAAAGTAATTTGCATTTCCCCAATTATTTTTGGAATTGGGCATCATTTTGAAAATTGTCTTATAAAATCTTTACTAATGGATGACCTAGGCCGGGCGCGGTGGCTCAAGCCTGTAATCCCAGCACTTTGGGAGGCCGAGGCGGGTGGATCACGAGGTCGAGAGATCGAGACCATCCTGGTCAACATGGTGAAACCCCGTCTCTACTCAAAATACAAAAAATTAGCTGGGCATGGTGGCTCGTGCCTGTAATCCCAGCTACTCAGGAGGCTGAGGCAGGAGAATTGTCTGAACCCAGGAGGCGGAGGTTAGGTTGAGCTGAGATCGCGCCATTGCACTCCAGCCTGGGTAACAAGAGCGAAACTCCGTCAAAAAAAAAAAAAAAAAAAAAAAAAAAGGAGTTGCCGGGCGCGGTGGCTCAAGCCTGTAATCCCAGCACTTTGGGAGGCTGAGGCGGGTGGATCACAAGGTCACGAGATTGAGACCATCCTGGTCAACATGGTGAAATCCCATCTCTACTAAAAATACAAAAAACTAGCTGGGCATGGTGGCGCGTGCCTGTAATCCCAGCTACTCAGGAGGCTGAGGCAGGAGAATTGCCTGAACCCAGGAGGCGGAGGTTGCGGTGAGCCGAGATCGCGCCATTGCACTCCAGCCTGGGTAACAAGAGCGAAACTCCGTCTCAAAAAGAGTTTTACAATTTAACAAGAAAAAATTACTGGTTGTACTAGAACATGGGCTGTTAGCCTCTTCACTTTTTATCCTAAGCAGCTCTATAAACTTCATTTGGTATCTTTTTTTTTTTTTTTTTTTGAGACGGAGTCTTGCTCTGTCGCCTGGTCTGGAGTGCAGTGGTACAATCTTGGCTCACTGCAACCTCTGCCTCTTAGGTTCAGGTGATTCTCCTGCTTCAGCCTCCCGAGTAGCTAGGATTACAGGTACATACCACCATGCATGGTTAATTTTCGTATTTTTAGTAGCGATGGGATTTCACCATGTTGGCCAGGCTGGTCTCAAACTCCTGACCTTGGGTGATCTGCCCTTTCTGGCCTCCCAAAGTGTTGGGATTACAGGTGTGAGCCACTGTGCCTGGCCTTTTTATATATTTGTCTACTTAGTAAGATTTTTTTGAATCTGATTCACACAATGGACTAGAACACTTCTGAAGCCCTTTTAAATGCTGAGGATCTGTACAATAATCTATGAATTAGTTTGATCCCTGTGGGATTAGTACGCAGAAATATCTTAGTCTTAGCTAACTAAGCCTAAGCTTCCTGTTCCTTTTATATAAGATTGAGGAAAAGGAAGATGTTTGGGAAGATGAGTTAGTTTTATTAATATGCAAGTAAGAAAACGAGTTGTGGAAAGAAGTATATGCATGAAAAGTTAAGTGACAAAAAACTAAAAAAAAAATTGGAGGTTTAGGAAATCTGCCTTTACCTCACCGGCCACCTCCCTAGTGACCTTAAGAATGCTAAATAAAGTTTAAAAACCAAGAACATTTGGACAGACTTTGAAGTTGCGAATTAATGAAAAAGTAGTTTCACCTTTAATGATCAGCTCAGTTGCTACTGTACTGCAGACCAATTAGACATATATAATTTTTATTTCAATTCCCTAATCCTATCCCAGCCAGTATCATGTTTTAAGGTTTAAGATGCTCCTAGTAAGATGCTCCTTGTATTAAAATATAGAAGTCCCAAATCTAACCTTCAATGGCTAGAGTTGTATGTCACCATTTTTTTTTGCCTACTTGTAAAAATGACTGAACACGCTTTTTAGATGATTAAGCAACATATATCCCTCTTCCTTTCATTACGATTTTAATAAAAAAGAATATAAACGCCTACATTACAAAATACATTTCTTATTGATGGTGCAATGGAACTTTTACAAACACAAACTTTATACAAGGGTGTTAAAAAGCCAATTCCAGAAGCAGCAAAAACATGAAAACAGGAAAGTTCTAGAAAAAGTCTAAATAGATGTATTCATATTCTATGAGTGAAAAAGACACTTCAAAAGTATGTCTGTAAGGCTGGGTACATTAGCTCATGCCTGTAATCCCAGCACTTGGGAAGGGTGAGGTGGGCAGATGGATTGACCCCAGGAATTTGACACCAGCCTGGGCAACATGGTGAGACTCCGTCTCTACAAAAAATACAAAAAAATCAGTCCGGTGTGGCAGCGCCCACCTATAGTCCCAGCTACTGGGGAATCCTCCCTACTGGGAGGCAGGATTGCTTGAGCCCAGAGGGTTGAACCTGCAGCGAGCTGTGATCAGGCCAGTGCACTCCAGCCTGGGCGACAGAGTGAGATCCTGTCTCAAAAAAAAAAAAAAAAAATTTACGGCCAGCGCGGTGGCTCATCCCTGTAATCCTACCACTTTGGGAGGCCGAGGTGGGTGGATCACCTGAGGTCAGGAGTTCAAGACCAGCCTGGCCATCATGGTGAAACCCCATCTTCAAAAAAAAAAATTTTTTTTACAAAGATCTCATACATACATATTAATTTTGTATAATTCCTCTAAAGGAATTATTCAAACATCTCAAAATATCTCACTGATATTTATTCGAGTCTTGTAAGCTTCCATTTCCTACGGTAATATAAGACCATGGGTAGAAAATATCAGTGAATAGAGAAAGACATGCCGAACACCTCATCTGAATAATGTTTTGTTTACTCCACAATCTTTGGTCCTTCCACTGCTGCACAGTTAGGTTCAGAGGCTGGTCTTCGAATTAGGTCACCAAAATATGCAGTGATTGTCTTCAATTTATTGTTAAGGAAGTTCTGTTCTATTTCCACTTGCCCTCCAGGCCCAGCCAAGGATGCCACCTAAAAAGATGAACAGAAGAAAGTCACATGCACACACATAAGCGTAATTTCTTTTTTTTTTTTTTGAGACGGAGTTTCGCTCTTGTTACCCAGGCTGGAGTGCAATGGCGCGATCTCGGCTCACCGCAGCCTCCGCCTCCTGGGTTCAGGCAATTCTCCTGCCTCAGCCTCCTGAGTAGCTGGGATTACAGGCACGCACCACCATGCCCAGCTAATTTTTTGTATTTTTAGTAGAGACGGGGTTTCACCATGTTGGCCAGGATGGTCTCGATCTCTTGACCTCGTGATCCACCCGCCTCGGCCTCCCAAAGTGCTGGGATTACAGGCTTGAGCCACTGCGCCCGGCCTACATAAGCGTAATTTCAAAACAGTGTTTCACTCATACTGCTGTATCAAATAATAGGGAGACTCTGCGTTTAAGTCCTTTGAATAATGAGGCATGTCAAATGTTCACTGCTACTTCTCAGGCAGGTATTAATACAATATTTGGAGGTGCACCTCCACAGTTAGCACCAAAAGGATGCTAGCCAAAGGACCAGCACTTGATGGGGGACGGGGCCATCAGCTGCTAAAGACCTTTGTTCCATGACAATAATGCTTGCAGTCACCTTCGTACACTGCAAACTAGTCATGTTTTACCCTAAGTTCTTAAACAGGTAAGGTTTTGTTTTGGTTCAGTACTTTTTTCATCTAACCTCTCAGAGATCTTTTAAACAGCAAAAATGTTACTTTCTAACCCATGATTACTTACTTCATCAGAATCAGTTTTTTGGGGTAGTAGGAGGAAAGATCATGAGAAGGGAGAATGCAGTGGAGAGACCTGGCAGGTGGAGAGAAGACACAGCAATAGAAAAAGGGATACCCAGGCCAGGTGTAGTGGCTCACGCCTGCAATCCCAACACTTTAGGAGACGAGGCGGGTGGATCATGAAGTCAGGAGTCTGAGACCAGCTTGGCCAACATGGTGAAACCCAGTCTCTACTAAAAATACAAAAATTAGCCGGGCGTGGTGGTGCACGCCTGTAATCCCAACTACTCGGGAGGCTGAGGCAGGAGAATCACTTGAGCCTGGGAGGCGAAAGTTGCAGTGAGTCAAGACTGCGCCACAGTGCTCCAGCTTGAGAGACAGAGCAAGACTCCGTCTTTTACACACACACACACAAAGGAAAAAGAAAAGAAAAAAGAAACGGATACCCAAAGTATTAGGGACAGCTATAAACAACGAGAGTCAAGCATTTTCTGTAACTGATATCAGCAAAATTACTGTTGTGTATTTTATAAAAAGAGGTGCTCAGTCAGTCTGGTTTGGTTTGAAGAGTTGAGAGAATGTAATCTCAGTGGTATTATGCATACCATACCAGCTTCTGGTAGAAGGGACAATTTATTATGTATTTCCAATGAGTATGTAATTTAAAGTGTTTTAACTTCCTCTTAGAAAAAAAAGTCACAGACATAGAAATAGGGAAGCAGCAACTGGTCATTCTGTGGTATATTACTATGTGAAAATCAGTGAAATACAGTATCCCTTATACTGATTTAAAAGTACCCCCCTCTACTATTTTGTTGTAAGGAATACTTAAAGTGAAACTAGAAATTTGAAAATAGCCAAGTAGTCCCAGAGTAGTAGTTATTAGGAATAAATGTTTTAAATTCTATTTTGGTATCTTCATGCCAGTCTGATTTTTTTAGAAGGAAGGGCAAAAAAGGTAATTTTGTCTTTAGCCAATAAAAGGCATTTTGAACAGCATATCATTTTCTCACAATAATTTTTGTGAGTTGAGATATAACTCAAGTATAGCATTTCTGCTGTGCCTCTTAACAGTAACTTAAAAATCTCCAGTTCTATCAATAATTTGCTGCCTCAATTTAAAAAGGCAATTTTTATTGTTGTTAAGAGAGCCATTAAAATAGGCTTTGGCTTTCTAAATCTGAAAAAATAGAAATATCATCAATCTTCCTAAAAGAGCATTTTAAAGAAAAGAAAAACCATTTCTGAAGTTTACTCGAAAAAAAATTAAAGGTACTATATAGATGGTTATTATTTCTTATATAAGCTATAAAGAGAATTACATAAAAACCAATTTCTGAGAAGGCAGGTTAGTTTCTTTTGTTTCTCTTAATACCTTTCAGAGGATTATCTAGATGTGGGTGCTTTGGATTAAAATAAAAAAAGAAGACGGGAATTTTCTCAGAAATCATGAGTTCTGATTGCTCAACAACTATTATTGAGAGCTTATAGGACTCTGTTCTAGGCAGTGTAGTGTAGCAAAACACAAACCAAAATCCTTGCCTTCATAAATTTTACGTTCTACTTGGGAGAGTCGGATGATGGACAGATAAACATTGTTCCTGATACTGGAGATGAAGGTGAATCTATGTGACAAAATACAGTGAGAAAACTCTTATCTACTTAGTGTTTAGAAACAAATGTTTTTTTAAAAAAACCTCACGTTACTTTCTTTTTTTTTTTTTTTTTTTTTTGAGAGGGAGTTTCACTCGTTACCCAGGCTGGAGTGCAATGGCGCGATCTTGGCTCATCGCAACCTCTGCCTCCTGGGTTCAGGCAATTCTCCTGCCTCAGCCTCCCGAGTAGCTGGGATTACAGGCGCACGCCACCACACTCGGCTAACTTTTGTATTTTTAGTAGAGACGGGGTTTCACCATGTTGACCACGATGGTCTCGATCTCTCGGCCTCCCAAAGTGCTGGGATTACAGGCTTGAGCCACCGCGCCCAGCCCAAAAAAACTTAACGTTACTTTCATGTGTTTGGATTACAAATAATTTCTAACTTTGGCTTTTTTGTACTTTTTCACATTTTCAAAACTACATATATAGTATATTTTTGAGATGGAGTTTTGCTCTTGTTACCCAGGCTGGAGTGCAATGGCGCAATTTTGGCTTACCACAACCTCCGCCTCCCACTGGGTTCAAGCAGTTCTCCTGCCTCAGCCTCCTGAGTAGCTGGAATTACAGGCACGTGCCACCACGCCTGGCTAATTTTGTACTTTTTGGTAGAGACAGGGTTTCTCCCTGTTGGTCAGGCTGGTCTTGAACTACTGACCTCAGGTGATCCGCCCACCTCAGCCTCACAAAGTGCTGAGATTACAGGTGTGAGCCACTGTGCCCGGCCCCAAAACTACATATATTTTAAAGGTTAAAATTTTGGAGTTGGAAAGACTGTAAATTTAGTAGTTAAAGCAAGTCACTTTGCTTCAGGCAAATTTAATGCCATTAATTTCTAGCTGTCCTTATTTTTCACTAGAAGATTTGGCTGACAAAATGTTATTTCGTTCCCTCCCCTTACAATTTAGTAAACTGTGAGAGGAACAGAGGGTAGGAGGGATGAACAAAGGCAGAATGGCAGGTAGAAACAGATAGAGATTAGGAGCTCTGGGTTACATGTTTTTGGCATATTACCTAAATACATTAATTTTACCAAAAATAAATCCCAATTAATTTGGACCAGAACTAGAATCAAGGGCTGAACGAACTCTCAACTAGATTTGACATCAGGCAGTAAAGTTGTTCTTTGGAGACTGGGAAAGGAGAAACAGGAAAAAGATCACAATGAAGGTGTTAAAACACAGATTAAAGCATCAAATAAACATTCAAAACTGCATTTTTTTTTTGAGAGGGAGTCTCGTTCTGTCACCCAGGCTGGAGTGCAGTGGTACAATCTCAGCTCGCTACAACCTCTGCCTCCCGGGTTCAAACAATTCTCCTGCCTCAGCCTTCTGAGCAGCTGGGATTACAGGCACTCACCACCATGCCCGGCTAATTTTTTTTTTTTTTTTTTAGTAGAGACAGGATTTTACCATGTTGGTTAGTCCGGTCTTGAACTCCTGACCCTGCAATCTGCCTGCCTCGGCCTCCCAAAGTGCTGGGATTACAGGTATGAGCCACCGTGCTTAGTCTTTTTTTTTTTTTTTGAGACAGAGTCTGGCTCTGTCGCCCAGGCTGTCGTACAGTGGCACAATCTTGGCCCACTGCAGCCTCCGCCCCTGGGTTTAAGTGATTCTCCCGCCTCAGCCTCCCGAGTAGCTGGGATTACAGATGCCTGCCACTGAACCTGGTTAACTTTTGTATTTTTAGTAGAGATGGGGTTTCACCATGTTTGCCAGGCTGGTCTTAAACTCCTGACCTCAGGTGATCCTCCCATTTCAGCCTCCCAAAGTGCTGGGATTACAGGCATGAGCCACCATGCCCGGCCTAAAACTGCATTTTTTTCCCAAAAGAAACTGGATTTAAAGTAAAAGTGCATGATAACCAAACGAGAGAAAATAACCTCCCAACTGCATCTTACTGGAAGAATATACAGTAATAGTTTACTAGTGACAGATACCTTTATTAGAAGAAAGACACAAAAACACCAGAGTGCTGAAAAATGCTTTATTACTATTATTTAAAACGTGGTTTGATGACAACTGTACTGGGTAAAAATAAAGAGCATTTTATGTGGTCTACAGATCTGTGTCAAAACACAATGCTGGCAGCAGCAAGCATCTGAAATACTGGCTGTGCCTACACACCTGGTGTCGCAGGTCAAGTAAGCGCCTCACCACTAGTTCTTTTGGTCCTTCTTTTCCTTTGTTACATCCAACTAATTACCACATGAAAATAAAACAAAGTTGGCAAAAACGTTTCTGATAATTTAATTTCTCCGAGAGGAGAAAGAAGAAAATATTTTTGAGTCAGCAGAGAATCAGGCATCATTTAAACTTACAAATATTCAAAATTAGTTCCATTTCTCTGCACATGGTAAACAGGAATGAGATGTCTGTGCTTAAGTAAATAAATCTTAAGCCCACCATCATCAACAGGAGCACCTGTTGATGCTTCTGTTGATGACCTGGTGACAGGTCAAAAAAATTCTCCCAGGCACCACAAGCTGACCTACACTGAAGTGCTAAGAGGAAGCTACCAGGCCGGACACAGTGGCTCATGCCTGTAATCCCAGAACTTTGGGTGGCGGCAGCAGAAAGATTGCTTTAGCCTAGAAGTCCAGCCTGGGCAACACGGTGAAACCCCGTCTTTACAAAAAATAAAACAATTAGCCAGGTATGGTGGTCCATGCATATGGTTCAGAGTTGCTACTCTGAAGGCTGAGGTAGGAGGAGTGCCTGAGCTTGGGAAGTTGAGGCTGCAGTGAGCTGTGATCATGCCACTGTACTCCAGCCTGGTAGATAGAGCGAGACTCTGTCTCCAAAGAAGAAGGAACAAAAGCACACAAACCCAAAAATAACCAGTTCACCAAGCTCTGTCCTGCACTCATTCTCAGAACCAGATACTAGAAACATGAAGACTGTTCAATTCTGCAAGTTACAGAAAGCACAGCCTATCAGCACAGGAACTGGCAGGTAGCACTATGTGTGGCACAGAAGAGCTGGGTAACCCTCTTATGTTTTCTTCACTACTGTAAACTTTCTCATCATTTACTGCAAAAATTTACCCACAGCAGTGAAGGAAATATAAGCTATATTTACAAGCATTTCAGCAAAACAGCATTTGTGTCTTCCCAAGTCAACAATGAGGCCAGTCAGTTCCACAGTCCCTCTAGAGCATGACAATAAATACGGTTTAAGAACAAATGATTCTGCTCTAATTGTGCAGCAGCAAACTTCCCAAGGGAAAAACTGGCTAGTAAATATTAGGAACTGATCACATGTTTATCCTGAATTGCAGTGCACGATTAATTTCTCTGCAACTGTGATTTCTCTCAATTTTAGAGTATTTGTCTCCTATCATTAAAAAGTTCCTACACATGGATACATTTTCTTCATTTAAAAAAAGTTGATTTCCCATTGTAATTTGATACCAAACAAAATAATATACTTGAAATTTCACCAGACTTTCTTGGTTTCATTATTCCCTAGTGTCATTACTCCCTCTAGAGGCAGAAAACGTGAATCTGGTAAGTTTTTGAAATAAACCAAAAACACAAGTTAAAGAAAAAGTTAACTTTCTCTCTGTGAAAGTGTTAATTTAATTAGAAAAAGTTAATCAGCATAAATTGTATGATAAACAGTGAATTTCCTATCATTATTCAAGCACTCAAAGAAGCCCATCTACATTTAACATAAGGATCGGGACACAGCCCACTAAGTATCACATTGTCTCTGACGAGAAGACGTGGAGCATAATACTCACATACGAGAAAAACAGAAATTATGGAATTGTTAGGCTCAACCTTATCTGGCAGTCTAGAAAGCAGCTCTGAATCATATGAAGGGCAGATATAAAATACCTGCTGTTTAATATGAACTTTAATTCAGAAAATGCATGAAGCAAAGAGATTGTTCCTTTTTTTTTTAGACAGAGTCTCACTCTGTCACCCAGGCTGGAGTACAGTGGTGCAATCTCGGCTCACTGCAACCCTCCTGGGTTCAAGTGACTCTCCTGCGTCAGCCTCCCAGGCAGCTGGGGGTACAGGTGCCTACCACCGAGCCTGGCTAATTTTTTTTTTGTAGTAGAGACGGCGTTTCGTCATGTTTGCCAGGCTGGTCTCAAACTCCTGGCCTGAAGCAATCTGCCTGCCTTGGCCTCCCAAAGTGCTGGGATTACAGGCATGAACCACCACACCTTTTCTTCTCTACCACACCCGGCCCTTTTCTTATCACTGGTATAACACATACTATTAATATTTTGGTAGGTCTAATGTTTAGACACAATGGATCATAAATAGATGAAAGGCGGCAAGATCTAATTTCATTGCCTAATTATAAGAGCTCAGGTTTGTTAATTTCATTTACTCTTCTTTTAACACAGAGAATCTCAACTCTGGAGCACATTTTACCACCTGGGGCACTTTAAAAATTAACTTACCTTTGGGCCTCATCCTAGATAATAGAGAGTATTTCCCAGTGGACTAGGGTATTAGTAGTTTTCAAAAAATGCTACTCAGCTGGGTATGGTGGCTCACACCTATAAGGCCAGCACTTTGGGAAGCTGAGGCAGGAGGATTGCTTGAGCCTTTAATTTTGAGACCAGTGTGGGCAATACGGTGAGATCTCACCTCTAGAAAAATAAAAAAAATTAGCTGGGCATGATGCTGTGTGCCCGTGGTACCAGCTACTCAGCAGGCGAAGGTGGGAAGATTACTTGAGCCCAGTTAGTCGAGGCTGCAATGAGCCAAGTTTTGGCCCCGGCACTCCAGGCTGGGTGACAGAGCGAGATGTTCTCAAAAGAAAAAACAAAAACAACAAAAAGCACTACTCAGCTAAAACTATATAAAGCACAGGAAACACAATGGAAAAAGATACACTGGACTTCATAATAGAATAGACATGCCTGAGTTGGAAAACCTGATAGAGGTATAATGTAGAAGGGAGGAGGAAGGAACAAACACTAGAAAATATAGATAGGAAAGACTAACATTCTCATAGCAGATGTCCCGGAGAAAGGAAAAAAGACAAGGAGGAGAACACTGTGGAAGAAATCGTGCAGCTAGAATCTCCTGAATAAAAAACACGAGAAACATCAGAATACTAGGGCTAGTTCTGAGAGTATCAAGTAAGAGAGAAAGGAAAAACCCAGTTAGCAACATTACAGTGAAATGCAGAATATGAAAGACAAAGGATTTTCAACAGTACCTGGCACAGGTTTATAGAAAAACCAACAAAAGCATGAGATACCATCAAATCTTTCTTTTTTTTTTTTGAGACAGAGTCTCACTCTGTTGCCCAGGCTGGAGTACAGTGGTGTAATCTTGGCTCACTGCAATCTCCACCTCCTGGAAGCAAGTGATTCTCCTGCCTCAGCCTCCCACGTGGCTGGGATTACAGGTGTGCACCACTATGCCTGGCTAATTTTTGTATTTTTAGTAGAGATGGGGTTTTGTTATGTTGGTCAGGCTGGTCTTGAACTCCCGGCCTCAAGTGATCCCTTCACCTTGGCCTCTCAAAGTGCTGGGATTTCAGGCGTGAGCCACAATGCCCGATATAAAAAATCATCTAATCTTTATGAGGCAGTTTATTGTACCAGATCCAATTCTACTAGGGAAAAAAACATAACATGATTAAATATTTAAGGTAAGAAATTAAAAAGAATATCTGAATATTAGTTAAATGTCCCATATGTCAAGAACTACAGTTAAAATTGTTCCCGGTCAAATTAGGATCTTATGTCTCTTTTGTTTCTGCTCAGGATACCATTTTCAGGATTTGCTAAAATCTATTCTCAAGGTAGGTTTCAATCAAAGCAGATCTTGGCCAGATGCAGTGGCTCACACCTGTAATCCCAGCACTTTGGGAGGCCGAGGCAGGCAGATCCCTTGAACTCAGGAGTTTGAGACCAGCCTGGGCAACATGGCGAAAACCTGTCTCCTCAAAAAAATACAAAAATTAGCCAGATAAGGTGGCATGCACATATAGTCTCAGCTCCTTGGGAGGCTGAGTTGGGAGGATGGCTTTAGCCTGGGAGGTGGAGGCTGCAATAAGCTGAGGTGTTGTCACTGCAATCCAGCCTGGGTAATAGAGCCAGACCTTGTCTCAAACAAACAAAGGCTAGTTTACCTATGCAGCATTTGAAGCTCAACACATCTAATCTTCTTTTCAGTATGTCTTAGCAAAGCCTCAAGTGCTCTATCTGTGTCTATGTATGCCAGGAATTGTGGAAATGAAGATGTAACAGACATGTATCTAACTTCCAGCTACTTTCAGTTTTCTAAGAAAAGTCAGGGAGTCAGGGACTTCTCATAAACACATTATCTGGTAAAGAAATGTCCTGTATCTTTTACCATCCTTGTAACAGTTAAGACAGAAACTCATGGAAGTTTTTCAGTAATGGCTTACCTGGTCAATATCAGCATTTCTTGGAAGAAAATAAACAATATTATTAGTAATCTTCTTGGAAAGTCTGAAAATTTCAAAGGTGGACAGCGGTTAAGGAAAAATAACAGAAACAGCAGCTAATTTCTAATCAGAAAGAGATGTGTTTAACCCATTGTAACTCAAATATATTTCAAAATGTAACGAAAAGGCAAAAACTTAATCCTCTAATGGAACCTAAGAGAATTAAATACAAAATTTTGTAATTCAGCAACATATTGTCCCAACAGTTCAAAGACTAATAGTTAAATCGATTTATTCAATTATCCTAGTGGTAGGTACTGGGCAAAGACGCAGAAATACAGACCCTTTCTCTGTCATTTCCTAATTACTGAGAAAACAGAATAGAAAACAGGACAGCACAATACCACTTCTTCCCAGTAAAGAATAAGGTAATCCTGGACATTGCAGTCAACACTGTAAATTACATTTTAAAATTTTAATTATTTATTTATTTTTCAGACAGAGTCTGGTTCTGCTGCCCAGGCTGGAGGTACAGTAGCACAATCTCAATCTCAGTTCATGGCAACCTCTTCCCAGGTTCAAGTGATCCTCGTCCCTCTGCCTCCCAAGTAGCTGGGATTACAGGATTACAGCTGCCACCACGTCCAGCTAATTTACGCTGTAATTTTTTTTTTCTTTTTGAGACAGAGTCTTGCTCTGTCACTCAGGCTGGAGTGCAGTGGTGGGTTCAAACGATTCTCCTGCCTCAGCCTCCTGAGCAGCTGGGATTACAGGTGCCCACTACCACGCCCAGCTAATTAATGCATTTTTAGCCAAGACCAGTTTCACCATGTTGGCCAGGCTGGTCTCAAATTCCTGACCTCGAGTGATTTTGCCTGCCTTGGCCTCTCAAAGTGTTGGGATTACCGGCGTGAGCCACCGTGCCCCACAGTATTACCTAAATTTAATAGGAATTTAGAAATATGTTCCCTGTTAAGAGTCAAACAGATGATTACTCTGGAGTGGCAGGTAGAGAAAGGGACAAACATTACTCTATGAAATAAGGGTTTGCTTTGATATCCTGGAAGAGTAACTGTAAACATTTGAAGATACACAGCAAATGAGCCAGTGTCAATGTGAATTGAAGAATGTTATAGAATGGTTACCCACAAACTCCAGGGATAATTTTTGAGGAAATTCCTAATTTGCAGACAGTAAGTCCAAAATATGTGTTCTAGTCCTTGTTTTATAATGGTAAAATTGAATAGCATGCAAGGGAAATATGACCTCATATTTCCCATTACTTCTGGAGATCAACCCCATCATTTTTACATACCTGCTTTTTATGTAAAATAAACTAGAATTTATCAAATGCTGTTAGCTAATATCACCTCTCTTCACTAATTTCTCCCTCTCTTTTTTGAGACCTGCTCTGTCGCTCAGGCTGGAGTGCAGTGGCGTAATCTCAGCTCACTGCAACCTCTGCCTCTCGGGTTAAAGTGATTCTCATGCCTCGGCCTCCGGAATAGCTGGATTACAGGCACGTGCCACCATGCCTGGCTAATTTTTCTATTTTTAGTAGAGACAGGGTTTCACCACGTTGGTCAGGCTGATCTCAAACTCCTGACCTCAGGTGATCCACCTACCTCAGCCTCCCAAAGTGCTGGGATTACAGATGCGAGCCACCATACCTGCACACCCCTACCCACCCCGCTACATTCCCTCTTTCTCTCACTCTCATGCCCCTTTCTCTCCACAATCACTGTTTCAGTAAACTCTCAGAACTTCCAAAGGATATCCATCAGGCGACATCATCGTCCTAATGTCAAAGGTCTCTGCAGTGGCGTAGTCTGGACCTCCCCAAGGTGGGCTGAGGAACACAACATCAGCCTTTAAACAAGGAGCCAGCAGCAAGAAATCTCCACAGATAAACTCTATCTTATCTGCTATCCCATAAACTTCTGCATTATTACGAGCAAGAGCAATCTTAACAGGATCGATATCAATGGCAATCACTACAAATGAGAAAAGAAAAAAATGAGTTAATTGACACTGATTATTACTTATATAGGATAGTTCATCTTTCGAATAGTCTGCCATCTTTTGTATCAGAATTCTTTTTAAAGAGGAGACATCTGGCCACATATACCAGAGATATAGACTTCAGTTTAAATTTTTTATTTAAATTAGAAAGAGTCACTTGTGTTGTACTAAGCAAAATGTGACTGAGGGACTTGGCTTTCTTGTCTCACTCAGACAGCTCTTCCTAAGCAAGTTGCAATACTTGCCACAAAAGATCTACTGAGGGCCAAATATGTGGCCACCATTGTGCTGAGAAGCAAACACTTGAAAGGGTCACTGGCTGTATGTAGAACTTGTAACGCTAGGTTTTGGAAAAGACAAACTTCCTCAAAATGCAGCGATGCCCACATGAACACAAATTCGACAACTTCTAAAGAAAACCAAGATAAAACACATTTTTACAAACTTATGTAGCCAAGTGACGAAGAAGAAATGTAAAAACACCTGCCGATAATGTTTAATGAGACATTTGAGGCAGAGGAAAGATAATACTGTTTTCACCAAATGGACTTTCATTTACTTTATTCCAATTTCATAATTAGAAATACAGACATAATTTAAGTTTAGCCTGTCAACGTTTCGCAGTAAACTACTCGGTAAACTCGCATGTGCACTAGTGTGTTAATGGCAGTATTCTTTATTTGAAAGGGCTAAGTGGAACCGTGACGCATACAGCATGGTTGTCATGGAAATGCAGTTGTTTTCCAGAAAATGCTAGTTTCCAAATTTGTTAATATTTTTGAGAGAAATAATGTGCTCAATCACTTGAATAATAAATATAAGCACCAATTATAATATAATGCAAAATCATATATTTACAATGCTGTTTTTCCTGTTCTAAATAAACTAACACATTTGTAAGAGAAAAGATCCTTTCAGCTGCTCAATCTGTTACATTTATAGTTCAGAGACAGATGGAAAGATACGTTGATGAGACCAAAAATTCAAAAGAAAAAGTGACTTTCAACATCAAAATCTATTCAGTTAATCCTATTTTCATCTGTATTTCTTTTGGAGGCAGACTTGTTTTTAGGCCTAATAAGAATGAATGCATTCAATCTATCACACAAAAGAAATGCTGGCTGGGTGCAGTGGCTCATGCCTGTAGTCCCAGCACTTTGGGAGGCTAAGGCGAGTGGATTCCTTGAGCACTGGAGTTCAAAACACCATCTCTACCAAAAACACAAAAAATTAGCCAGGTGGGGTGGCATGTGCCGGTAGTCCCAGCTACTCGGGAGGTTTAGGTGGGAGAATCACTTGAGCTTGGGAGGAGAAGGTTGCAGTGAGCTGAGATTGCACCACAGCACTCCAGCCTGGGTGACAAGTTAGTAGATGTGTCAGTATAATCTTGGGCAAGTTATTTTAGCTCTTTATGTCTCATTTTGTCTGGGAAACACAGATAGTAAGACATAATTCACAAGATTGTTGACTAAATAAAATAATACATATAGTTGGCCCTTAACATGGAAGTTAGGAGCCTTGACCCCTTGTGCAGTCAAAAATCTATGCCTAACTTTTGACTCCCCAAACTTAACTTTTAATAGCCTACTGTTGACCTGAAGTATCACCAATAATGTAAACAGTTGATTAACATGTATTTTGTACACTGTATTACACATTGTGTTCCTAATACAAAGGAACCTAGAGAAAAACTATTACTAAGCAAATCATAAGGAAAATACATTTACAATACTGTATTTATTGATAAGGTAGGGTTTTTCTTTTTCTTTTGAGACTAAGTCTCATTGTTGCCCAGGCTGGAGTGCAGTGGCGCCATCTTGGCTCACTGCAACCTCCACCTCCCAGGTTCAAGTGATTCTCCTGCCTCAGCCTCCTGAGTAGCTGTAACTACTGCTAATTTTTGTAATATTAGTAGAGACGACGTTTCATCATATTGGTAGGGCTGGTCTTGAACTCCTGACCTCAGCTGATCCACCTGCCTCTGCCTCCCAAAGTGTTGGGATTACAGGTGTGAGCCACTGCACCCAGCAATAAGGTAGGTTTACACCACGTGTTTATAAGACGAATTGTTTGAAATGGTCCTTAATCTACAGTACCTATCAGGCAATTCAACTTTTCCTTGTAATGTCATCACTTCGAGCATCTCACTATTGACACTTCATATGGGTCCCGTGATGTTAGTCGAGGTTTATGATACTGCACTAAACATAATGAAAAGTACGAGCACCTCGAGAGATCACTTTTTACTGCTACACGCAATTTACAGGAGAGACGAACTGCTTACATGGAGATCACTGCATCACACTGCATTTTAAGCAGATACTCACAACACCGGAGCTCACCAATAGAAGGAGGTGGCTATGAGGTAATTACAGTTTGTACTCTAGTTATGTTTACGTAGTTATGATTTAATGCTGCATCTTTACATCTGTTTACATCTCTCTTGGCTTTGAATGGTGTCATGCACAGTCTAAGTTTTTTTTTTTTTTTTTGAGACGGAGTTTCGTCCTTGTTACCCAGGCTGGAGTGCAATGGCGCGATCTCGGCTCACCGCAACCTCCGCCTCCTGGGCTCAGGCAATTCTCCTGCCTCAGCCTCCTGAGTAGCTGGGATTACAGGCACGTGCCACCATGCCCAGCTAATTTTTTGCACTTTTAGTAGAGACAGGGTTTCACCATGTTGACCAGGTTGGTCTCGATCTCTCGACCTCGTGATCCACCCGCCTCGGCCTCCCAAAGTGCTGGGGATTACAGGCTTGAGCCACCGCGCCCGGCCCGCACAGTCTAAGTTTTGATTACATTTGATTAAATTTTAAGCTATGATTGGGTTCCTTTTTTTTTTTGGGATAGAGTTTCCATCTTGTTGCCCAGGACGGAGTGCAATGGCACAATCTCGGCTCACTGCAACCTCTGCCTCCTGGGTTCAAGCTTCTCAAGTAGCTGGGATTACAGGCATGCGCCACCATGCCCAGCTAATTTTGTATTTTGAGTAGAGATAGGGTTTCTCCATGTTGGTCAGGCTGGTCTCAAACTCCCAACCTCAGGTGATCCGCCTGCCTCGGCCTCCCAAAGTGTTGGGATTACAGGCGTGAACCACTGCGCCTGACCAAGATTTGTGCATATTTTAATGGTAGTATATGATAAAACAGACTAGTATCTATGTATGTTTTATGCATTTATGACATTCCTAACTTTTAAATTATTTTAATATATCTAGGCTACAGGGAGTTTATCTGTGGTTTTTTTTTTTTTTTTTTTTTTAAATTGTCACTAATCTCCAGAACATTTTCCAATATATTTACTAAAAAAAATGTGGGTGTAAGTGGACTCACACAGTTCAAACCTGTATTGTCCAAGGGTCAACTGTATGAAGCATTTACATCAGTATGCAATACAAAGCGTATGCCTAATATATGCTATTATTTTAAATCATTTCACATTCAATTATTAATTACATAATAAATCTCAATAAGATAGGCTGTAGCAAAATGAAACATTTACTGAATAAACTGGACATCAAATAGTTCTCTTCCATTGATGGCTAATTACCTCTCATTCCTGTTAAGGCAAACTGAATGGTATTTCCTCCAACCCCACAGAATGCATCGATTACCACATCACACTTGAAGGACTGACTGACTCGGCCAGCAATGTGTTCAGCAATCTTCTCGGGCGTAACTGAAAACCAGCCCTCTGCAATGAAACAATATTTGTGTTAACATATTCAATTTCAAAAAGCCAAGGCAAGCATAAAAGTAGCAAACATTACTATATCTTACATACTTTTTTTTTTTTTGGAGACAGTCTCCCTCTGTTGCCAGGCTGGAGTGCAATAGTGCAAACTCAGCTCACTGCAAGCTCTGCCTCCCGGGTTCAAGTGATTCTCCTGCCTCAACCTCCTGAGTAGCTGGGATTACAGGCATGTGCCACCATGCCCAACTACTTGTATTTTTAGTAGAGACGGGGTTTCACCATGCTGGCCAGTATGGTCTCGATCTCTTGACCTCATGATCTAACACCTCAGCCTCCCGTAGTGCTGGGACTACAGGCGTGAGCCAACAAGCCCGGCCAGGTCTTAACATACTTCTAAAAAGCTTAGTTTCACTTTTAATAAAACTATAAATTACCTAGTTTTAAAGAAAAAAATTTCAAAGCTTGTTACAAAAAGCAGTACCATTCCCAATTTCCACAGAAACGATGACCTCAATTGTTAACCTAATTCTCTTGTAATACTGTATACCTCCATTTTTCTAATAACTGAATTACAACTTTGATGTTTCTATTTGACTTTAACTACTGATTCCAGGCTGGTCTCGAACTCCTGGCCTCAAGTGATCTGCCTACCGCAGCCTCCCAAAGTGCTGGGATTATAGGTGTGAGCTACCACGCTATTTTTAAAGAGTCAGAAAAATCAAGGAGCTGACAGCAAAAGGCCACAGGGCTGCAGAAGTCCAGGAGGAATAGTAGAGCCTCATCATTTTCAGAAATGAGGTCCTGTGTCCACTCTAGAGGAAAGAGAATAATGACCTCATTCTTTCCTAGCAGAACAAATTTACATTTTTCAGCAAGACATTTCTCTGAACAAAATGATGTGCTAGGCTGGGCGTGGTGGCTCATGCCTGGAATCCCAGCACTCTGGGAGGCTGAGGCAGGTGGATCACTTGAGCCCAAGAGTTTGCGACCAGACTGGAAAACACAGCAAAACCCTGTCTCTATAAAAAATTAGCCAAGCATGGTAGTGCTTGCTTGTAATCCCAGCTACTCAGGAGGCTGGGGCATGAGGATTGCTTTTAGCCTAGAGGTGGAAGTTGCAGTCAGCAGAGATTGTGCTACTGTACTCCAGCCTAGGTGACAGAATGAGACCCTGTCTCAAAAAAAAAAAAAAAAAAAAAGGAAGAAAAGAAAAATACATAAATAAAAATGATGTGTGTTCATTTTCCTGCTGCCTCCCCTGACCAAAACTTCAAATGGCTCTTCAACACTGGAAAAGAACTGCAAGTGTCTTCCGGTCCTATTTCAACTTACAAATGCCTATGTACTTTTTCCAATATACAACATTTTGCAAATTATTTTAAAAGGGTCAGAGAACCCCTGAAATTCCATCATAGATCAAGAACTTCTGATTTTGTTAATAAAAACCAGTATTGCCGGGCGCGGTGGCTCACGCCTGTAATCCCAGTACTTTGGGAGTCTGAGGCGGGTGGATCACGAGGTCAAGAGATCGAGACCATCCTGGTCAACATGGTGAAACCCCATCTCTACTAAAAATACAAAAAATTAGCTGGGCATGGTGGCGTGTGCCTGTAATCCCAGCTACTTAGGAGGCTGAGGCAGGAGAATTGCTTGAACCCAGGAGGTGGAGGTTGCGGTGAGCCGAGATCGCGCCATTGCACTCCAGCCTGGGTAACAAGAGCGAAACTGTGTCTCAAAAAATAAAAAAAATAAAAACCAGTATTTAGGTAACCCCAATATGAAAATGAGTATCAGTCTGCAAGACTGAATTAAGTAAGTTGTTGCAGATCACAGCAGGAAAGCTGGAGAAAGAATTCAAAATTTGCAAAGTTAATTCGTTAAATCCTATCTTTCTGCACTAGATTTTTCTTCATCAGATTTTCTGTTTAAGAACTTATCAATTGCTTTTGCTATCTCTCCTAAGGTGCTACAAATACAGATTAAACCCAAATCTGAAGTTTTAAAAATACACACACACACACACACACACACACACACACACACGCGCGCGCCCCAACTGAAGGACATTCTATAAAGTAAGTGGCCACTTATCCTTTGAGAAATGTCAGTCATGAAAGACAAAAAAGACTAAGATTCCAGATTAAAGGAAACTAATGGAAAAATAGCATGAAAAATAAATGTAATACATGATCTTATACTGGAAGGAAAAAAATATGTGATAAAGGACAAGATTAGGATAACTGATGAAACTAGAGTATAAACTGTAGATTATAATATTGGAACAATGTTAAATTGATAATTTACTCTTTTGAACAAAAATATACTTGTTCTTAGGAAATACACGTTAAAGTATTAAGGAGTATGGGCAGGATGTGTTTAAGTGGATCAGGAAAAGATATACACACATACATATGGAGAGAGAATGCAAAAGTAAATGGGGCAAAGTGTTGAAAACAGCTTAAGGGAAGATGAACATTCCCTGTATTATTCTTACAACTTTCTGTAAGTTTGAAATGGTTTCAAAATAAAGCTAAAAAATACATACACACTTTACCTCTGTCCAACTTAATCCCATCATCAAAACGGGAGAAGAGCCTGTACCTCTGGGCCCAGTATTTGGCCAGCTCAGGAACAGCAGCTATCTCAGGAGGCAGACCATTCGCCTTTTTGTTCTTCTTCTTCTTCTTCTTTTTCACTTCAGCTAAAATAAAAGGTAAAGGATATAGATGCTCACTAAGAAAAAATGAGTATCACAAGTGAATTTATCTAAAAATGAAGTCACATCAAATAATTACAAGCAGAACACGTATATAATGACATGCCCAGAGAAACAGGAGAGCCTGATGGAAACGCCACCGACTTCAATCACAGCCAGCATTTTGCTACTTACTGGCTTTGTAAGCTTGGAAAAGCAACCCAGGCTCTTTAAGCTCCAATGATTATTTCCTATAAAAGGAACGAATGGGCCAAGCGTGGTGGTTCACGACTGTTAATCCCAGCACTTTGGGAGGGCGAGGTGGGCAGATCAGCTGAGGTCAGGAGTTTGAGACTAGTCTGATCAACCTAGTTTGAGACTAGTCTGATCAACCTGAAGAAACCCTGTCTCCACTAAAACAAGTACAAAAATTAGCCAGGTATGGTGGTGGGCACCTATAATCCCAGCTACTCGGGAGGCTGAGGCAGGAGAATTGCTTGAACCTGGGAGGTGGAGGTTGCAGTGAGCCGAGATTGCACCACTGCACCTCAGCCTGGCTGACAGAGCAAGACTTTGTCAAAAACAGACAGACAAAGGAATGAATGAATGAATGAGTTAGTGAGGGGTATTTGACTAACTTAATTCACAGGCAGTGATAGAAAATATGTAGAATTATTGCTATAGACATAAAAGTTATTACTTCTGTTAGTCAAAACACTGCTTTATGTGGTGAATTATAGAAATCTAAACATTTCCTTTCACAGAATCTATCACGGACTAGATTAGGCTCTAGCGCTCAGTCACATCAATCCTAGCAGTCACGTGGTATCTGAGAAAATGAAACAAGGGTCACCAGCTCCATTCCACAGAAAAGGATCTCATTCATTTGGAGACTGATTTTTTCCTTAGATTAATAATTAGAAGCAACAACATAGAAATATGAGACTTTTGTCACAGTTAAGTATAAAAACAAGAGGTGATGGCCAACAAAGAATAAGACTCCATTACACACTCAAATGGTCCTCAAGGATAGGGCTATGTCCTAATATGTTCACCCGATTGACGCAAATAGCAAAACGTGTCATGATTCAGTAGGGTCAGATCTCCCCATCTCCCAAAAAGTGTCACCAATAGCAAAGTATGATGAGTATTTCTCAACATGGGGTATAAAGACATTGTGGGTGGAATAATTCTTTGTTGTACAAGACCATCTTGCACATGACCTGACATTAAGTAACTGAGTAGCAAATGCCAGAATTCCTAATGCCATTCTAACAACCAGCATCTTCCAAATCCACCTGTGAAGGTGGTACTACTCCAGGCAAGAACAATCAGCATCATGAGAACTGGTGTTATGGAAGTGGGTAGTACAGAAAAATGGGACTTAGCAATCGGAGAAGTTGGTAATGAGTCCTAGCTATGCCACTTACTTGGACTAATTTTTAGATTTCTCTCAGGTTTACTGTTTGTATTCACAGAATGGAAAATAGTTCCACCTACTTCCTTGGGCTACCTTACAGATTAAATGAGAATAAGGTACGTGAAAGCATTTCAGAAACCTACAAATGTCATATGAAAATCAGTTATTATAACATTAACAATAAAAGAAACATAAACTACCATAGGTATGCTATTTGATAAAAAGATCATAGGTACACATGCACCCACACTTGCACTAAGAAAAAAAGAAAATCAAGACTCAACTAAGTTATTTTCCTCAGTAACAAATTAAGAAAAATGATGAAGGATCACAGTAAGTATAATTGTTTCATAATACCATTATTATTCATCTATATAAGAACTTTTGATATAAAAATTCTAACAATACAAAAGTACGTAATTAAAAATGTTAGTTTATTCATTAGAGCCAACTGCTGTGAATAGTGTTTATATTAACATACTACCAAAAACACATGACCATCATCAACCACACCCACACAAATAAAAAAATATAAAGCAAAAACAAAAAAACCAGGCAGAGTACAGTAGCTCACTCCTGTAATCCCAGCACTTTGGGAGGATGAGGTGGGAGGACTGCTTGAACCTCTGGCAACCAATCTGGGCAATAAGACAGTAAGACCCTGTCTCTACAAAAAAAAAGTTTAAAAATTAGGCGGGCATGGTGGTGTGCGCTTGTAGTCCCAGCTACTCAAGCTGAGGTGAGAGGACTGCTTGAGCCCTGGGGGTCGAGGTTGTAGTGGGCTGTGATCGCACCACTGCACTACAGCCTGGGTGACAGAATGAGACCCTGTCTCACATTTAAAAAAAAAAAAAAAAAGAAGTAACCCAAAGCCACACCACATTTCAAGAGGGCAAAGGATGGTCACCTTTAGCCCACAAACAGAGTAGCAGCAGAGGCCAAGTTGAACGGCAGACAGTGGTCCTCGGGCACAGTACGCCCAGTCTTCCCCTTTCAACTTGATCATGTTTGCTCAGCCAAGAGTGAAGAGTGCCGTGAGTGCTAAGTAACAGCCAGTTAGAACATGTACACTTAATATGCCTTCTCTCCACTTTAAATAGCAGTGACTTCTTTTGAACAGAAGATTCACAAGTGAAAACTAAGGAAAAACATATTAACGAAAAATCTATTTATCTAAATCCATTAGCAAGTTGAAGCATATTTCATGTTACCTTCGGTTTCTGCCTGGAGGGAGCCTGGTACTTCTTCAGTAACACAATCCTGCTCATCTGGAACAGTTGCTACCAAGCTGTCTCCTTCATAGTTTTCTGTTTCAAGTTCACCAGCTGAAGCCATGCTCTGACACTTTTCAGGTTCTGGATGACTAGACTCCAGTAGGTCATCACCTTTTTTAACAGACATGTCTTGTTCCTCTGAATCACTACTTGTGGAAGTGTTGTGCGCATTGTCATGAGAAGATGATTCCTGTGATGCTTCTTCATCCATTGGTTTTTTCACCCATGTTAGGAATTTTTCTACCTTAAATTTTAAGATGATAACATGAACAGGAATTCCAAACTACACAGAATCTTCCTACCTTTTACCATTTGTGACTTGATTGACAAGCTGTGTCAAAATTACTGGCTCTGAAAAGTAGACTGGCCGGGCGCGGTGGCTCAAGCCTGTAATCCCAGCACTTTGGGAGGCCGAGGCGGGTGGATCACGAGGTCGAGAGATCGAGACCATCCTGGTCAACATGGTGAAACCCCGTCTCTACTAAAAATACAAAAAACTAGCTGGGCGTGGTGGCGCGTGCCTGTAATCCCAGCTACTTAGGAGGCTGAGGCAGGAGAATTGCTTGAACCCAGGAGGCGGAGGTTGCGGTGAGCCGAGACTGCGCCATTGCACTCCAGCCTGGGTAACAAGAGCGAAACTCTGTCTCAAAAAAAAAAAAAAAAAAAAAAAAAAAAAAAAAGTAGACTGCATCACACAAACAAGTAATTCTGACCTAATCAGAACTTGTTATCTGGAGCATGCCATGACCTTATTAAAGTTTTCCTTAAAAGGAAAAAAATACCAGATTAAACACTTCCTGCTATCAATAAACACTAAGACGATAAAGCCAAACTATCCGAGTAGCTTTCCATAAGGATTCCAGCAATTTAACTGTGCTGTGTGCTATTACCATTACAAATGTACCTACTTACTACTGAATCGTTCATTTTAGTTTTTCAAATTATAAAGACCTTTCTGCGATGGTCAAGCTACAACCTATGTAAATGTTACTTAGCATCAAAGATAAATGCTAAAAAGATTTAGGGCCAATTTTTCCATAAGAATAGAAGCAGTCTATCTTGAAAAGAAATAAAAGTCGCCTTTTAATGCAACAGTAGAGTCAGTAAGATATGTCCTAACAAACTATGTTTCTTCTTTGAAATGTTAACAAGGCTCAGCGTCAGATCATATACTTCCTTGCATCTTGTGTAACAAGAATATTCTTCCTATCTTGTCTTCATGACCTTCCTAAGAGTGAGTAAACTAGAACGAATGTGGTACACATGATGGGCAACAAGCCAGTATCTTCCTCTGAGGGAATGTGCCCGTAAACAAATTAGATATCTAAGGACACAACAGTCACGTATCTTATTCCCCAGCAATGCCTAGCAGCTATGTTTCTGCACTCATCTATAGACGAATGCAAGGGGGCTATTATATCCAACGCATTTTGGAAAGTCCTACAGCACTGACTGGACTAATACTAGGCAATCTGTTTCAGATATAACTAGCATCACTAACATGTTTATTAAAATACCATCAGTAGCCAGCCAACCTGAAATGTAATACAAAATAAAACCAGCTATATATATGTAGCATATTTTGCAAGTATGCTGAAGTTAGGGAGGACAATGTATCTTGAGGGGAAAACAGAGTGATCTGACTAGTCTTAAAAACAAACAACAGAAACAAAGTCATCAGGGAGTCTAAAATTATGGTCTTCTGTCCTGAAGAGCTGCTGGAGATGTGACTGACATCAATGTTCTGCTCATTAGAAAGTGTTTTTTACCCCTTAGAATATAAAAGGGTAATTCATCACACCAAGCAATTTTCTAACTTTTGCTTCCCAGGTACTTGGATGGCAGGTAGAGCAAAGTCCAGGAGTGGGGATATGACTATTTCAGGTAATAATGTGAATCAATAAATTGGCCTTGTGCTTCATACTATCAGAGTGAATTTATTACAAGGTGTAAGGTGTGACTGATCACTTCTGGAAGAACTCAGAATTAAAGCTTATAAAGCTGTATCAGGATTTGGACTATTAGGATCCTACTGGTATGACTTGGCTGAATCTCATCTTGAATCATAGTTCCCACAATCCCCACGTATTGTGGGAGAAATCAGGTGGAGATCGTTGAATCATGGGGGCGGTTTCTCCCACCCTGTTCTCCTGATGGAAAGTTAGTTCTTACAAGATCCGATGGTTTTATAAGGTGCTTCCGCCTTTGCTGGGTACTCATTTCTCTCTCCTGCTGCCATGTGAACAAAGAGTTGTTTGCTTCCCTTTCCACCATAATTTTAAGTTTCCTGAGGCTTCCCCAGCCCTGTGGAATTGAGTCAATTAAACCTCTTTCCTTCAAAAATTACCCAGTCTTGGGTATGTCTTTATTAGCAGCATGAGAACAGACTAATACACCTACTTAGCCTGAAATAGATGAGAAATTCCTCCCTGTTCTTGTCTGTTACTACATCGGCAAGGTTGTGTTTTTGCTTTTTTTTTCTGAGATGGAGTCTTACTCTGCTGCCCACGCTGGAGTACAATGGCACTATCTCAGCTCACTGCAACCTCTGCCTCCTGGGTTCAAGTGATTCTCCTACCTCAGTTTCCGGAGTAGCTGGGATTACAGGTACCTGCCACCACAGCTGGCTAATTTTGGTATTTTTAGTAGCGATGGGGTTTCACCACATTGGCCAAGCTGGTCTCGAACTCTGGACCTCAGGTGATCCTCCTGCTTCAGCCTCCCAAAGTGCTAGGATTACAGGTGTGAGAAACCGTGCCCGGCCAAGGTTGCGTTTTTAAAATCATCTCAGACACTACTACTCTGTAGCTTTCAAATACTTCCTTTTCATCCTACCTTAACTTACTCTTTTTCAAATTTAGTTTACATAATACATGCCTTCAAGAAGCAAGTTAAAAAAAATGATGTGCCTTGTTACCTAGTAGAAACAGGCTTCCTATTTGAATACAACAATTTTAAGGAGTCAAGCTTATAAAACATGATTCTATCTACAAGTATAAAATAAAATTTATACATACCTTACTCAGAGTTTTGCTTTTCTTGAAAAATGGTTTTTCTGACTCTTTGGTAAAGAAGATGTGTTTGTTTTTCATTTTTATTTGTCTGCGCATGTCCAGGTACTTAGACTTATGCTTCACATTCTTCTCTAGATACCTGACCTGCCGACGACTGAAATTTGGAATTCCACCATATCTGTGACCAGATCAAAACAAGTGACTCACACCTTAAATTCTAGGATTATATCTCCTTATAGGAAAAGAGAATGGAATTAACATTTTTCACTCATTTTTACACCATTTTAATTCCCAATCAAAATTATGAAAATGACAAATTCAAGTTCAACTTGCAGAAGAGTTGATGGTCTAACTTTTATGATAATTCTAAAGCAAATGTGTAACACCCAAGTTGGGAAGAGCAACATACCTAATATAGAGCAGAAAGTAGAAATTACATAATAGATTGCAATAAATAAATAGTTAAAAAACCAAAACCCTATCCCCTTGTTAGGGAAATATAAATTTTCTCAAGGTGGGGTGATGTCAAAGCTCTTTAACACATTTCTGGATGTGTCTGAATTATCTAAATCAATCTGAGCTTACAAAAGAAGCGAACCCTTAGTATCAAAAAGAGAATGTCTGATTTAACCATCTGAACTTTTCTAGTCCTAAGAGATATGTCTCTGCTATGAAGCCTCCTTTGATTATATTAAGCCTCAATTAACTCCCTCTCCTACAAACTATCAGGGACTTAAAAGAGTCACCTACACTTTAGCATTTCGAATATCCAGAATTGTTTGGGTTTAAATGTCAGGGCTTACTTCGTAGCCATATTATAAACTTCTTTTAATAAGTAGTCTATTTTATCCTTCTCTTTTAAGCCGAATTGGGTGTTTGAAATAGAAGAGTAGTTAAGTTAAATCTCAGGCAAGAAAAGAAATAGATCTCTACAAGTGTATACTACCAAAATCCACCCAAGAATTCCTCAGCAAAATTACATATGCATAGTAATAAATCCTGCCAGAATTTAAAAATCTTTTTACACTGCTAAACTTTATGATCTTTTTTTTTTTTTTTTTTGAGACGGAGTTTCACTCTTGTTACCCAGGCTGGAGTGCAATGGCGCGATCTCGGCTCACCGCAACCTCCGCCTCCTGGATTCAGGCAATTCTCCTGCCTCAGCCTCCCGAGTAGCTGGGATTACAGGCACGCGCCACCATGCCCAGCTAATTTTTTGTATTTTTAGTAGAGACGGGGTTTCACCATGTTGACCAGGATGGTCTCGATCTCTCGACCTCGTGATCCACCCACCTGGGCCTCCCAGAGTGCTGGGATTACAGGCTTGAGCCACTGCGCCCGGCTAAACTTTATGATCTTAACATTAAGTGATTATATGAACTATAATTGCCTTGAAATACCGAAAGGAGAAAAACTGATGATCCTTAAAAACTGTAATAGTCAACACATACTTCTGAACTAATTTGGATTCAGTTTTGAGACATTGCTTGTGTCCCTTTCTTGCTGACTTCATAATGTGTAGATATCTACTTAATGTGTAGATATCTCTGTACATTTTATGTGTTCATATGCTTTAACTCAGTGGTACTTATACAACTTATAAAACAGGTAAGTAGGACCTGAAATCTCATGTGCTTTAACTCAGTGGTACTCTTACAACTTATAAAATAGATAAATAGGACCTGAAATCTCAACCCTTAGAAACATCAAAGAATGCGGTCATGGTTTAGATTACTGGTGCAAGCTGTCTTTGACCAGCCTTACCTACTCAGTTTAGTCTTCATGTCGTATGCAATAAAATCTCTAGTCGTTCTAACACAATTATCTACTTCTTTGCATGTTCCTTTATATTTAATGCCTGGGCATTTAATCCCAGAGAAATCTTACGTCTTCTATATACAAATGTTCACAGCAGCTTTATTTACTCTTGAAATTTCATTTTATTTTTTATTTTCTGCCTTGCTATGTTACCCAGGCTAGTCTTGACCTCTGGCTTCAGGTAGTCCTCTCACCTCAGCTTCCCCAAGTGCTGGGACTGCAGGTGTGAGCCACCGCACCTGCACTGTAGCTTTATCTGTAACAGCAAAATGCCGGAAATAATCCAAGTGCCCTTTAACTGTTATGTGGTTGAGTAAATTTTGATACATCCATATACTGGAATTCTATTCAGCAATAAGAAGGAATAAATGGGCTGGGTGTGGTGGCTCATGCCTGCAATCCCTGCATTCTAGGAGGCCAAGATGGGAGGATCACTTGAGGCTAAGAGTTTAAGACCAGCCTGGGCAACACAGCAAGACCCCATCTCTATGAAAAAACTTAAAACAGCGCTGCACTCCAGCCTGGTTTATACAGTGAGACCCTAAGGAAGGAAGGCAGGCACATGTAATAAATAATCTGGAGGGACCTGTGGGGCATTATGCTTGGATCTTAGGAAATAATTTAGATGCTGTTAATTAGGATTGATAAAACATAATGCCCCCATTTACAGAATTAGCTAAATGTTTCCACCAACAAGAAAGGGTGTCCATGATATATATTGTTGAGGGAGAAAAGCTGGAGAGTATGCACAATATGACCTCATTTTTCTGTTTTACAAAGAGAACAAAAATGTGTATACACGGCCAGTCATGGTGGCTCACGCCTATAATCCCAACACTTTGGGAGGCCAACGTGGGCAGCTCACTTGAGGTCAGGAGTTTTAGACCAGCCTGGACAACATAGTATAACCCCATCTTTACTAAAAATACAAAAAAAAAAAAAAAAAAGAATTATCCAGACGTGATGGTGCACACTTGTAGTCCCAGCTACTTGGGAGGTTGGGGCAGGAGAATCGGCTGAACCTGGGAGGCAGAGTTCACAGTGAACCGAGATCATGCCACTGCACTGCAACCCAGGCGACAGGGTGAGACTCTGTCTCAAAAACCAACAAAAACAAAACAAAACAAAAAACAAACAAAAAATGTACGTACATGTATACAGTCATAGTACACAAGAATTTGGAGGGATGTATGCCAAACTCTTTCTTTGAGAGTCTCACTCTGTTGCCCAGGCTGGAGTGCAGTGGTATTATCATGGCTCACGGCATCCTTAACCTCCCAGGCTCAAGTGATTCTCCCATCTCAGCCTCCCAAAGAGCTGGAAATACAGGCATGTACCACTAAACCCAGCTAATTTTAAAATTTCTTGTAGAGATGGGGTCTCTCTATGTTGCCAAGACTGGTCTCGAATCCTGGGCTCAAGCAGTCCTCATGCCCCAGCCTCCCAAACTGCCAAACTCTTTAAACACTAACTACATCTGAGAATGACTGGAAGATTTTTTACTTTTTACTTGTTATTTGGTTTGTTTGGATTTTACTCTTTCTTAAAAAGAGCAGATTTGAACTTTTCATGGCATGTTTACTATGGTTTTCAGATGTACACATGTGAGACACTAAGTGAGAAGAGAACCATGCTTAGAAGTCACCAGAGCTGGGCCTAAATTCTCTCTCCAGTAAATGATGTGATCTTGACTAAGTCAAAGCCTCTTTGAGCTGCAGTTGCTTTATCTATGAAATGGAATAACAACACTGGATTGCTATGAAGTACCACTGAGTTAAAGCTTATGAACACATCAAATGTACAGGGATATCTCTACCATAATTCTAACAAGAAGTGCCCTAATCATTACATCTCAAATGTTACACACATTGTCGTTTATTAGTTATCCGAATACCAGAGTGCTCTAAGATAGCTGAAGTGGTTAGGACTTCTGGAAGACAATAGTTTTTATGAATAATTACTTTTGTCCTGAGCCATGCTTGAATCCTAGAAGGGAACCACTGTCATCAAAGTCTGAAGCTGGGTTTTCATCGATGTCCAGTTCATGGCTAAATGAATAAAGAAAAGGTAAACAGTGACATGCCATTACCACCAGAGCCCACCAGTTCAGATAAATATTAAAAAGGCAATATAATTGACCCAGGCAAACTTCCCATCACTATAATCAACCATAGTTCACAAATCCAGGAAACCAGGAGAAAGAGTACTTAAATTAGAATTTTCCAAACGAGGTAAGTACCCAGGAGTACCTGGAACAAAGCAATAAGTACTCCAGTCTTAATCCATGTCAAGTCATAATCTCTATTCCTGAGTATGGTATGAATATCATGTCTCCATTTTCCTTTGGAAAACACCAGTAAAAGCTGTAGCCTTAAATAAATCTCCCAAAGTGATTTTTCCAAAGGTTTCCCTTAAAAATAAACAAGGAAACGTTTGATAAGTATCAATCCTATCAAAAAAATTTTAAAAGAAAAAAATTATTAAAAATAAGGTTGTGATATGGGTGATATTAAGTAACCCAGGAGAATCCACCTATCAGAGATCTTTTAATAATCAGTGACTACCCCCAGCCATAATCCCAAGTAAAGGAAAATGGTGAGAAGTAATTCTTACAAAGTTTGTCCTCCAAAGTTGGTTATGCTCACTGAAAACACATGATCTTTGCCTTCAGTAACCAGCAAGAACTGGGGAGCTAACAAGCAACGTCTACCATATAGAGGGAGCATAGTTGAGGCATACTTGCTTTTCTAGAAGCTATACAGAGCACAAAAGTCTTAGGTGGAGCACCCCATAGCCTGTCAGAGAAACGAAGAGTCCAGCTAACTTCCGAGTTCAGTAATGATCCGTCCGTTCCTTGTTACCTACAGCGTTAGCATCTGACTGCATCCCGCCTTATATTATTCTCTACATGTTTAATGATGTGTAGAAGCGGTATAAACCTCCAAAAGAATCTAAAGATGAATACCCAAAAAATAACTTTTATGTGGTTATAAAACACAAAAACACAATTGCAACTTTGGACGTAAGCACAGAATGAGGTGGCCTCATGAAATGTCCAAAGAAGAGAGGAAAAGGTTAGAGTTTCACAGAGGAAAGAGGTCACGCAAGTTGTTTAGAAAGTTAGTCCACTGGCGCTGGCAGCATCTTACAACAAACAGCTGATGAGTTTTGATTAGCAGAGCCAGTGACTGTTGGGTGGAACTTGAATCTGAGAGTTATGGTTAGGCCTCTGCAGTTTTGGATTGGGTCTGTGAGACTGTGTCAGGCACATGTTCCTGTATAAGGAGCTATCTGCCCTTGCGTGATGCTTTGGCTTGGAAACATTTCTTGTGACAGTTCCTGTTATCAGTCAAATCGTGCATGACAGCCCTCCTTTCATGGCCTTCCCTGGCTATATCTTACCGTCATTTGACACAAGGGACTCTGTTTTGACTCTTACAACTTTCACAGAGGTAAACAGAAATTGCACTGCTTCAAGTCGAGTTGGTTTGGGCTCTGGCTTTGAAGCTGCCATTATCGTGAAAAACTCTAAGCAAGGTACTCGTCCCTGTTTGCCTCAGTGTTCCTATCTATTCAATGACAGCATGAGCTTGAGGCCTATTTCAGCAATACAAGCCTGGGAGAAGATATACCCACATTTTTGAAAAAAATTAGAACTGGTGAGAGAGAGAGAATATAAACCTAATTATTAGTTAAAAGTTATGGCCAGGCGCAGTGGCTCACGCCTGTAATTGCAGCACTTTGGGAGGCTGAGGCGGGCAGATCACGAGGTCAGGAGTTTGGGACCTGCCTGACCAAACTGGTGAAATCCCATCTCTATTAAAAATACAAAAATTAGCCAGGATGGGTGCCACATGCTTGTAATCTCAGCTACTGAAGGGAGGCTGAGTCAGAAGAATTGCTTGAACCCAGGAGGCAGATGTTACAGTGAGCCGAGATCATGCCACTGTACTCCAGCCTGGGTGACAGAGAAAGACTCTGTCTCAAAAAAAAAAAAAAAAGTTATAATCTACTGATAGCTACTAAATATCACATACATTATATGCTAGCTCCTGTCTACCCAATGAACACAAAAAAGGCAGCAACCCAATCTTATAGATGAGAAATTAAGAAATGTACTTAGGCTGGGTGTGGTGGCTCACACCTGTAATCCCAGTGCTTTGGAAGGTCAAGATAGGAGGATCACTTGAGGCCAGGAGTTTGAGATCAGCCTGTGCAATATAGTGAGACCCTGTCTACGAAAAATTTGAAACAATTAGCCAGGAGTGGTGGCACATGCCTGTAGTACCAGCTACTCAGGAGGCTGAGGTAGAAGGATGGATTTAGCTGAGGAGTTAAAGTTTACAGTGAGCTATGCCATGTATTCCGGTCTGAATGATAAAGTGAGACTGTGTCAAAAAAAAAAAAGAGGTAAATATACTTAGGGTTTGTGAGTGGCAGAGTTTGGCTTTGACCATAGGTCCAGGTCCAAAGGTTCAGAATCTTACCAGTAGACCAAGCCTCTTCTTACAAGATTACCAGTGTTGTGAACATAACAATCATTTAATAACCACTTACTTACGGACACAAATGCTTACTCTAACACACACCGGTGAGGGGGGTCTCATGCAACTTACCTCCTCTTGAGTTTGCCTGGCTTATGCTCAGGTGGATCTTCCTCACTTTCATCTCCATCAGTACCACTGGCGTGTAGTCTGACTTTGCTTTTGTTTGTTTCTGAAGACTTCTGTGACCCTAAATAGGCAGAAATACTGCAGTAGGTTTTTCCCTTGGTTTTACAACTTTTCTGCTATTTGTAAAGCCAGTCAAAATATTTCAGCGCCTTTTCTGCAATGAACTGTACATGTGCATCAAAATGCCGGGTCACGTCTACCTGTTTGTGTGTCTACATGCAGAGTTTGTACATTTAAAAAAATCCTAACTATAAGGTTAAATTTAGATTAAAGCTGTCTCTGTATATACTTTATGCTCAGCTTAATGGTTTCTCCATACATAGTGAACTGTAACTTAATTGGTTGTCTAAAAAGACTAACCTACTGTCTGACAAGCACAGTTTTGGCTAATCACAGGCAGCCACTGTACAAACGATGTTCAAGTAAGGCAAAAGCTGAGCTGTAACCAATCCAGCTTTAACCAATCCAGCTGTAACCAATCCAGTTTCTGTACCTCACTTCTGCTTCTGCACATCGTTTTCCTTTTTCTGTCCATAAATGTTACTGTCCATAAATGTTATACCGATGATGTGGCAGTCCTGGAGTTGTCTGAATCTATTCTGGCTCTTGGGGCTGCCTGATTGGAGAATCATTCTTTGCTCAATTTTTAAACTCTATTAAATTTAATTTGTCCACAGTTTTTAACAGGTTTAAAAATTTCCATGATCTAACTACTTAAAAAAAAGAACCCAAACTAAAACTACTTCTTCATAGCTGCCCACATCTACACAAACTAACCCACAAAGCTGCCTTCGTGACAGCTATCAGCAGTCATTCTTATGGAATTTTAACTTAACTGACTCTAAAGATGGCATAATCACATTGATTAAAAAGAATTACTCTTCATTTGCCTTTAATGTAGTATGAAAGTAACATTAATAATGAGAGTAACAAAGACAATACTACATACTACCTTTAAAAAGAGTTCTTTAACTTATGGTGGTTAAAACTGAGGCACAAATCTTTGTTCTTTATTTTGTCGGACTGGAAGAAAGCAGATAGGTGAGACCAGGAGGACAGAGGTGTCTGCAGGGTAGACAGGAAGCTTTGACTGTGTGAGGACACTCTCTCAGAAGAGCACCAACCACAAACAGTAGAAAACATACTTACGTAGAAGCGTAACAAATACCTTAAATTTCGAACTCGGGATGATCTAAAACAAATCAAAATCTAAAACCCTCAAATTCACCCTGATGGCAGACAAACTGGAGTTAAATTATAGAAATGGCCAATCTATAATCATAAGTAAGGGAACAGGCGACGGAAGGCAGAGACTGTGAGAATTACTGTTTGGCAAAGAAAAAAAGCAGACAGATGAGGGAGGAAAACCAAAGAGGGTAAAATAAGACAGTAAGTCAGAGGCCAGTACAATGCCCAATTATGTATATCATAAACTTTATGGTCAAAAATATGTACAGAAAGGTCAAAAATATGTACAGAAAGGTATCAGGAGAGTATAGAAGAGTATCAGAATGTTAATATAAAATCTTCAGATAGGCCAGGCACAATGGCTCATGCTTGTAATCAGAGCATTTTGGGAGGCTGAGGAGGGCTGGTTACCTGAGGTCAGAAGTTCGAGACCAGCCTAGCCAACATGGTGAAACCCGTCTCTACTAAAAATAGAAAAATCAGCCGGGTGTGGTAGCTCACGCCTGTAGTCCCAGCTACTTGGGAGGCTGAGGCAGGAGAATTGCCAGGAGGTGGAGGTTGCAGTGAGCCAAGATCGTGCCACTACACTTCAGTGTGGCAACAGAGCAAATCTCTGTCTCAAAAAAATAAAAAAAAAAAAATCTTCAGATAAAAAAAAAGATGATGGCTGGGCATGGTGGCTCAATGCCTGCAATCACAGCACTTTGGGAGGCTGAGGTGGGAGGATCACCTGAGGTCAGGAATTTGAGACCAGCCTGGCCAACATGGTGAGACCCGCGTCTCTACTAAAAATTAAAAAAAAAAACAAAAACAAAAAAAAACCCCAAAAAAACCTGGGTGTGGCAGCACACACCTTAGTCCCAGCTACTCAGGAGGCTGGGGCAGGAGAATTGCTTGAGCCCGGGAGGTGGAGGTTGCAGTGAGCTAAGATAGCGCCACTGCACTCCAGCCTGGGCGACAGAGACTCCATCTCAAAAGGAAAGATAAGGAAGGATAAAAATTACACCAAAACAGAAAGGAATGAGACTATTGTACTGAAGTGAGCTCCGCTCTAAGAATCATATAGAGAAAAAAGTAAGTAGACAGAGCTCTTGAGAAACTCTTAGCTAGATGAAGTATTATCAGCAATCTGAGAGAAGCAAAGCAAATCCAATTGTTAAGTAAAAGATCAAAACCATTTGTTTCACAAAGGAGTAAGGCTGAGAAAAAAGATGTCTCCAGCATGTAGTATCAGGATGCCAACATTTCAGGATATTCAGATGTCACAGAAATTTCCTCCTCTCCCATTTTCTTGGTATCATTAACTGGGTCAATTGACAAAACCCTATTCCCTAGCAAGTGCACTGATACAGTTTGGATGTCTGTCCCTGCTAAACCTCATGTTTAAATGTGATCCCTAATGTTGGAAGTGGAGTCTGGTGGGAAGTGTTTGGGTCACAGGGCAGATCCCTCATGAATGGCTTGGTGCCTCCCCATGGTAATGAATTACTGCAATATCTATCTGATTGCTAACAAGAGCCTGGGACATTCCTCCCTGCCCCCCAGCCTTGCTCTCTCTCTTGCCATGTGGCATGCCTGCCCCCCTTTCTACCTTCTACCATGACTGGAAGGTTCCTGAGACTCTCACCAGGAGCTGATGCTGAGGCTATGCTTCCTGTACAGCCTGCAAAGCTATGAGCCAAAATAAACCTCTTTTCTTTATACATTCCTCTGTCTCAGGTATTCCTTTACAGCAATGCAAAGCAGACAAACATAAGCATTCTCATCCCACCCTACTCTGATTAACTTCCTTCAAAACACTTCCCATTGGCATTCTCTAGTCCTGAGTGACACCAGTTTGTACAATGAGGTTTTTTTTTTTTCCTTTTTCAGTCATTCAGGAATCAACCAAGTTCCTCATTCTGGATATTTTACTGATGAGAATCCTGAAATTAACCATTCCAGTTATAAATTAATATTGTGCCCTGTTGAGATCTTTTTTCACAGCAAGACTTCATTTGTCCTAAGTGAATTCCACATGACTCATAAGATATTTGCCTAATGTCAAATATATGTTCTTGATAGCTTTCTCTCGCTCTCTTTTCTTTCTTTCTTTTTTTTTTTTGAGACAGACTTTCCCTCTTGTTGCCCAGGCTGGAGTGCAATGGCTAGACCTCAGCTCACCACAACCTCTGCCTCCTGGGTTCAAGCAATTCTCCTGACTCAGCCTCCCAAGTAGCTGGGATTACAGGCGTGTACCACCATGCCCGGCTAATTTCTTTTTGTATTTTCAGTAGAGATGGGTTTTCTCCATGTTGGTCGGGCTGGTCTTAAACTCCCGACCTCCCGATCTCCTCGGCCTCCCTGGCTGGATTTATAGGCGTGAGCCACTGCGCCCAGCCCTTGATTGCTTTCTAACATGCCTCTTATAAACTCATTTGCTCTGGAAAACTAAAAGATCCAAGCTCACTCTAAATTAGATTTCTCAAGAGATTCCAAGTTTTCCTTCATTAGCCACCAAAGTACAAGAGGAAGGAATATTTTAGAGAACAGTATGCAAATATTCTTATTAAAAGGGTAACATATAACTTGTGATATGAAAATAGGATGGATTAAATCATTTCAATATTATGATATGAAATGTAGTTGGTATTATTTAATTCTACAATGAAGGATCAGTAGTAGTTATTTTGCTAAATAAATTCATTTTGCTAACCATTACATGGCAGAATAAATCTTGGTTAATCTTACCCTGAGCTGCTGGGTCTGTGCTTCTATTTCCTGTTAAGTTGCTTTCCTCATTGGTTCCTCCGTTACATGGTTCACTTTGGCTGGATGCAGGGCACTCTCTTCTGCAACTAACTTCACTTAGCCGTTGATGATCATCATGACTTATAAAGGAATCTAGCTGGCTCTGTTCTACTTCCTCTGAATTCAGTTTTATGTTACTAATTCCATTAAGTATTTCACTATGATCCTTATCATTTGTACCAGAGCTGTCATTATCAACTGTAATAGGTGTAGATGGAAAAGATACTACGTCAACTTTCACGCAATTTTCATCTTTCTTGTCAGCTTCTGTTTTAGATGTATAAGTATCTGTATCACAGCTTTGCAAGGCATCAAAAGTCCAACCCTGAGCTTCCCAATACTGAAACTGTTCCAAATAATACCAATAAAGTTGACTATAATGTTGCTCCCATTCTTCCTTTGTATCAGGAAAGTTCCAAGGTTCAGAAGATAGTGCTTGATCTGGATGTTTTTCTTGCCAACTTTGCCACAACAATCCTCCTCCATATTCATTCCAATACTTTTCCCATTTCTCTGTAATTTCTAGCTTTGGAGATAGTATGTTTTCAACAGGATGATTTTCCACCTCAGTATCTTTTTTGCTTTGAAGTTTACATCTTCTGGTGTTCTCACACTGTTCAACTGACGGTGGATCACCTGAAGCCAGAATGTCATCTTCTTCATATTCTTTTCTCCAAGATTCTTGCATAATTTCATCTAAGTATTTCTTCTGATGTTTTTTCTTTTTCTTTTTTATTTTATTTCTAGTATTCATAGATACCTACATCGGATAAATGATAACTTGAATATAAAATGCACTTCATAAACTATAAAAGAAAATAGAATCCACATCTATTTTGACAGTAAATTAAACAAAATACTCTCAAAGTCTGTGGGTTTTTAGCTCCACAAAAAAGTTCTTTACTATCTAAGTTTCCAAGAGGAGAAAAAGTTACACAAGGGACATACTATATCTTGTAGTTCTGGCTAATTTATAAATAAATACATACACTTAAAAAGAGGCAGAAAGTGCCGATCGTGAATGCATTTAATCTGAAAAAAAAATTCTTTGCAATATTTTATTAAAAAAAGAACTAAGAGATAGAAATAATAAAAGTTAATTTTTACCTCAAAATTCTTATGTGCAGATGTCCTACCAAATTGAAGTGGCAATCCCATACTTCTCATGAGTTCGGCCTCAGAATCAAGCTCATTTTCATCTAGGTCTATACCTTTGCTGTCATGTGATTCTGCAGTACCACAGGAATAACCATCTTCCTCCTCCTCTTCTGTTGCCTGGTCTCCTATAGACAGCATTTATTAGCTTAGTTTTTAGGAAAACTTAAGAGGCAGGTTTTCTTCGTCTCATTTTAAACAACCTGAAATGCAGAGTGACTGATTACAGGACCTACCCAAAATAAAGGTATGCAAATGTTACATTTAAAAAATTTTTAGAGGTGGAGTTTCACAATACTGCCCAGGTTGGAATATAATGATTATTTACAGGTGTGATCATAATGCACTAAAAAGCTTTGAACTCCTGGGCTCATTTAGTCCTCTTGCCTCAGCCTCACAAGCAGCTAAGATTACATTTGCACACCACCTTTCCTAGTCTACAAATGTCACAATTTTTAAAGGAAAAAAAAGAAAACCCCCCACAACTGATGGTATACTCTGCATGGTGGTTCACGTCTGTAATCCCAGCACTTTGGGAGGCTGAGGCAGGCATAGCACTTGAGGTCAGGAGTTTGAGACCAGCCTGTCTAACATGGTGAAACCCTGTCTCTACCAAATATACAAAAATTAGCTAGGCATGGTGGTAGGCGCCTGTAATCCCAGCTACTTGGGAGGCTGAGGCAGGAGAACTGCTTGAGCCTGAGAGGCAGAAGTTGCAGTGAGCCAAGATTGTGCCACTGCAAACCAGTCTGGGTGAGACAGTGAGACCCCCATCTCAAAGAAGAAGAAAAAAAAAAGAAACCCAAAAACAAAACCAAATGATGGTAATATGGAGCAGCAACAAAAAAAAGCCAATGAAGAATCAAGAGACAATTTCTCATTGGGCTCTGCCTGCCACTATTCATCCAGCTGCCCATTTAACTTAGGCTTATTGAGCATCTGCTCTGTGTTGGGCATTATGCAAAAGACTGAGGATGGAAAGAAAGGGGAGCAGGGCCATGTAACGCTGCTCTGTGGAAAAAATACTGATATATTCACATTCTTTTCTTCTTTTGAGAAGGAGTTTCGCTCTTGTTGCCCAGGCTGTAGTGCAATGGCGTGATCTTAGCTCACCGCAATCTCTGCCTCCCAGGTTCAAGTGATTCTCCTGTCTCAGCCTCCCAAATAGCTGGGATTATCGGCATGCACCACCACGTCTGGCTAATTTTGTATTTTTATTAGAGACAGGGTTTCTCCAGGTTGGTTAGGCTGGTCTTGAACTCCCAACCTCAGGCGATCCGCCCACTTGTCCTGGGATTACAGGCACGAGCCACCACGCCATATGTTCACATTCTTTATCTGCAAAATTAAGGAACAAAATCAGTGGACTTAAAAATCATGATTTGTGAAGTTACTTTAGGAGGTATTAACATAAGGGGTGAGAAGGCTGGGCACAGTGGCTTATGACTCTAATTCCAGCATTTTGGGAGGCTGCTTGAGGCCAGGAGTTTGAAACAAGCCTGAGAAACATAGTGAGGGCCCATCTCTACAAAAATAAATAAATAAATAAATAAATAAATAAATAAATAAATAAGTTACCCTGGTGTGGTGGTGCCTGTAGTCCCCACTACCTGGGAGGCTGAGGTGAGAAAAACGCTTAAATAATTGGCAACTGGGAAACAGAGCAAGATACTCTCTCTCTAAAAAAGAGAAAGGGCTGAAATCCACTGAACTGGAGGATTTTTTTTCAAGCTCTCTGAGTCTAATTTTTACAGAAAAACCATTTATTGCAACAAAGTAAGTTTTACTTTATCCTAATTTGGTTATCTAATAGTAATTTTGCCACTAATTGAACTTATCGCATTCAAGTGCTCTATTAACTATTTAAAATGTGAGATAACAAAAATCATTTTACATATTAGCACACTCAATTAGCATTGGAGTACACTCCAGCTTGATGATCTCAGGCAACAGAACAGTAAATCTCACATAGCCAAAAGGAAGGTGATAAGAGAGAAATCTCATGTGTATAAATTCTACTAAAAGAGGGAGAAAGATATCTTTCTAAATAATGAAGGGGAATGTACTCACTATTCCATTCAACAAATTTATGAAACCTCAGGAGACAGCAAAACGGGAAAAATTAGTAAGCTAAGTTTTACGTTCCTTTCACAGTATGCATATTTTCTTATGCTCAGGGAACGTAGTGTTTATAGAAGCTTTCTTTGTATAGCACAGCACTGAAACACAAACCAAACATTCTATCCAGTGATCAACCGAAGAAACAGTAATTTGTTCCATCCTGTGAGAGTTAAAGGATTTGCAAAGGTAACTATGACACTGTGCTTGGGCCGACTCTGGCTTCTAACTCCATGCTATGATTTTCTCTATGTCTAGAAACACAAAAGGTCTATGTGGAAGGACAAATGCAGTAGGGAGGTTTGAGAGACCGAAGTGAGGCTCAATGCACAGTATACATTGTATTTGTTATTTGGGAAAGTTAACCAACATGACAGTCTCTTTACTTCAGGCAAAAGACTACAGATGTTAACCTGGAATTTTTATCCTGTAGCATTTACCTACATAATACACTTCCGATGAAGAAACCACATATTCTAAATTGGAGATGGAGTCTCGCTCTGTTGCCCAGGCTGGAGTGCAGTGGTGTGATCTCGGCTCACTGCAAACTCTGCCTCCTGGGTTCAAGGGATTCTCTTGCCTCAGTCTCCTGAGTAGCTGGGATTACGGGTGCCCACCACCACACCTGAATAATTTTTGTATTTTTAGTAGAGACAGGGTTTTACCATGTTAGCCAGGATAGTCTTATACTCCTGACCTCAAGTGATCTGCTTGCCTTGGCCTCCCAAATTTCTGGGATTACAGGAATGCGTCACTACGCCCAGCCAGAAACCACATATTCTCTACTTTTCAGAGCTTCAAGTTCCAGGTTGCTCTTATCTAATGGTGGCAACTCGGGAAGGAACACTACACAGGACAAAAGAGGCTACATTAAGTCATCACAGGAGCCACAGAAAAAGAAAAGATCTGCTTTCACAGACATTCCAGAACCATGTTATTAAAAAAATAAAAACTGTCTATGATTACAGAATTAATTGGCATTTATATTTTATGCTAACAAATCAATACAATATTTTAACATACATAAATTAACACAATATTATGGCTAATTTCAGCAAAAAGAGTTATATAACTGTATACTAGATTACCTGAATTGTTGCCACTGTCTCTGATGTAAAAGCCTTTTAATCCCAAATTGTACAATTTTCGATCCCTGTGAAGCAGATGAAACAGTTCATATTGAAATGAATTAAGCCATAAGTTTAGAGGGAAAGAAATCTCAAGCCATCATAGATTAAAAAGCTTATGAAACAGAAAAGCAATTTGTTAATACATTTTCCTCACCCATAATATAATGTAGAGGCAATTAATACAGTTCTCATGGAGCAGTTCTAACAACTGATAGTATATGTAAAATATTCAGCATAATGCCTAACACACCTGGCATTTATTATAGCATTTATTACTATAACTACTAGTTATTAAAATTAAGGCCGGGCACAGTGGCTCACACCTGTAATCCCAGCACTTTGGGAGGCTGAGATCAAGAGTTCGAGACCAGCCTGGCCAACATGATGAAACCCTATCTCTACTAAAAACCCAAAAATTAGCCGGACATGGTGGCAGGTGCCTGTAATCTCAGCTACATGAGAGGCTGAGCCAGGAGAACTGATTAAATCCAGGAGGCGGAGGTTGCAGGGAGCTGAAATCATGCCATTGCACTCCAGCCTGGGCGACAAGAGTGAAACTTTATCTCAAAAAAAAAAAATTAAGTGTCATTTCTGCTGGACACTGGGGGAAGAATCTGATATTCTGTATGAAACACAAACAATGGGCTGTTAATTTTGCCGTGACTTTAACAGTGGAAAGATTTAGCTTATATACACACAAACCAACATGTATACCCTAACCCATTTGCTAAAAAGACAAACTGTCCATTGTGAATAGTAGACATGGTCTGAGCATTACCAAAATAAACCTAACAGACATTAAAAAAAAGTGGGATTTTGCTTTTAGGATCTTCCTGACTATAAATTCAGCTGTAATAAACTCCACTATAACTGCCATAATAAGGCCAATTGCAAGTGGAAGCTAACATAACTTTTCTAATAAGCTACAATAAATTTAACTAAACATAGATAATGTTCTAGTGCACTTGCTCTATTTCACATCCTCTTGTTTCTTTTTTGGAAATACTGTATGAATTGTAAAGTAGGTGGTGACTCAGCAGGATGATGAACAGGCAAGGGGGTGAAGCGCCAATGTGCTTTGGCAGCATGCCCACTGGTCCCCAAGAACATGGGCACTGGGGGTGGGGTGGGGAGCAGAAGCTGCACAGAGAGCGTCACTGGTCTGCCCATCAGCACCTCAAGATGGGAGGCAGCGAGCTGTCAGGTGGAGGAGAGGACCAGCATGGTTGCAAGCTGGTTACAATGAGCAAATATGTAAATATGTTGAAGATAATGTTAGCCAAGATTCTCCTTATTGAAGGTTACTTATTTATTTTATTTATTCTTTTTTTTTTTTTTTTTTTTTGAGGCGGAGTTTCACTCTTGTTACCCAGGCTGGAGTGCAACGGCGCGATCTCGGCTCACCACAACCTCCGCCTCCTGGGCTCAGGCAATTCTCCTGCCTCAGCCTCCTGAGTAGCTGGGATTACAGGCACGCGCCACCATGCCCAGCTAATTTTTTTTTTTGTATTTTTAGTAGAGACGGGGTTTCACCATGTTGACCAGGATGGTCTCGATCTCTTGACCTCGTGATCCACCCGCCTCGGCCTCCCAAAGTGCTGGGATTACAGGCTTGAGCCACCACGCCTGGCCCTATTTTATTTATTCTTTAAAATTTAATTTTTTTAAATTAAAAATTTTGTTTTCTATTTTTATTTTTAATAGAAATGAAGAAGGCTATTTAAAAACAAGGTGGGCTCAAGACATCATCTGATAGGAAGGAAGGTCAGAAAGAATTCTCAGGTATTGGGCCAAATTAGAAGTACTGTTATCAACCCATGGCATGTAAGTTTATACACAGCAGACATAGAAAGCTTTAAAAGTGTTACATATGTGTGTATGTATGTATACACACACAGACACGTTCATGTCTGCTCGTGAAACACACATATATACACCGCTTAACTCTCTTTACTAAGAGGACACAGGAGCAATGAGCACAATGAGCACCCAGGTTTTGGTTTCTAAATACCATTTTGCACTAAAGAAACCAAGCTGCCGTAAGGACACATGCACACGAATGTTCATTGCAGCACTGTTCACAATAGCAAAGACCTGGGAACCAACCCAAATGCCCATCAATGATAGACTGGACAGGGAAAATGTGGTACATATACACCATGGAATATTACACAGCCATCAAAAACGATGAGTTCACGTCCTTTGTAGGGACATGGATGAACCTGGAAACCGTCATTCTCAGCAAACTGACACAAGAGCAGAAAATCAAACACCGCATGTTCTCACTCATAGGCGGGTGTTGAACAATGAGAACACATGGACACAGGGAGGGGAGCACTACACATGGGGTCCGTTGGGGGGAAATGGGGGAGGGATGGGGGGTGGGGAGGTGGGAAGAGATAGCATGGGGAGAAATGACAGATAAAGGCGAGGGGACGGAAGGCAGAAAACCACACTGCCGTGTGTGTACCTATGCAACAATCTTGCATGTTCTTCACATGTACCCCAAAACCTAAAATGCAATTTAAAAAAAAAAAAAAAAGAAAGAAACCAAGCTGCCTTGGAGAAATGACAATTCCAGGTTGGGGTATGGACTGTAAAAGATAAACCTGGGTCACCTAAAACCGGAAGGTTAGGAAGCACTCAAAGAACACTAGAAAGACCAAAAGGACACGGGAGCCACTTCGAAGAGTCCCCCACTGGCCAAATCGGAGACAATATGAGCACCACATTAATGTTAACAATGGAATATAACCTGTGAGTAAACTAACAATCTAGATTCCATGTTAATATAAACAGATGAATATGGGGAGAGAAAGAAGGAAAGCGTTCTTTACAGAATGCTACCTAATAAATGCAGTAGGAACGAAGGAGACGAACCACTACCTGGCACCCTTCACAGAGGTGGCTAATTCGGGTGGAAGTTATCAATGAAGGCCAAGGCTTGTAGGTTCACTGGAAAACAGGATGCTAATTCAACACTGGAATATGTTCCCACAAAATACCGACTACAAAAGAAACCACTGTGACTTTCTAGTAGACAACCTGGCAACATCACCCATGGTGGTATACCATCTACAAAAAGTGCCTCTTGAGGCCACAACAGAGCTAGGCACAGCATCATTTGTGGCATTCCTGCTAAGGCATGACCCGACTAGTCATGACGAAACATCAGACAGACCCAGGTTATGCAAGGTCATCCTACAGAATGTAAGCACACGAAACTTAGAATGCGGCCCCTATAAGAGTAAGGGATTCTGGCCAGGCACAGTGGCTCATACCTGTAATCTCAACACTTTGAGAGGCCGAGGTGGGCAGATCGCTTGCGTCCAGTGAGACCATCTCTACAAAAATTACAAAAATTAGCCAGGCATGGTAGCTAATTTTGAACTTAGAATGTAGCTTCTAATTTCTAAGATTGAAGAATTTGTATGGGCCAGGCACAGTGGCTCGCACTTATAATCCCAGTAGTTTGGGAGGTGGAGGAGGAAATACTGCTTGAGGCCAGGAGTTTGAAACCAGATGGAGCAAGATAACAGACCCCAGCTCTAGGGGAAAAAAAAAAAAAAAAAAATTAGCCAGGTGTAGTAGTGCACACCTATGGTTCTAGCTACATGGGAGGCTGAGCTGGGAGAATCACTTGAACCCAGGAGGCTGAGGCTGTAGTAAGCCACGATCATACCCTGCACTCCAGCCTGGGGAGCAGAGTGAGTCTGTCTCAAAAATAAATAAAGACCATGCCAGCCATAGTGGCTCATGCCTATAATCCTAGCACTTTGGGAGGCTGAGATGGGTGGATCACTTGAGGCTAGAAATTTGAGATCAGTCTGGCACACATGGTGAAACCCTGTCTCTATTAAAAATACAAAAACTAGCTGGGTGTGGCGGTGTGCGCCTGTAGTCCCTACTTGGGAGGCTGAGGCATGAGAACTGCTTGAACCTGGGAGGCAGAGGTTGCCACTACACTCCAGCCTGGACAACAGAGCAAGACTCTGTCTCAGTTAAAAAAAAAAAGAAAAGAATACATATGAAATTATTTGTAATATAAATACACTTTTCAGTTCAAAAAGATTAAATTCAATGAAATAGAAAGATGGTAATCAAACAGTGTTTTAAAAGTCATTTTGATTCAAATCCAATTGTGTATTATTTTCCGGAGGTACGAGCTGAGAAATCTTCTCAGCTTTTCATATTTCATAACTTATATTCTCTCTCTCTTCTTTTTTAGAAGGAGGGCGCTTCCGAAAAGTAGCATCAGTACCCAATCATACTGAAGTGCTTGGCTCATGCATGTAATCTCAGCATTTTGGGAGGCCAAGGCAGGTGGATCACTTGAGGTCAGGAGTTTGAGACAGGCCTGGCCAACAAGGCAAAACACCAACTCTACTGAAAATACAGAAATTAGCCGGGTATGGTGGTGCACTCTTGTGATCCCAGCTACTTAGGAGGCTGAGGCACGAGAATTGCTTGAACCCAGGAGGCAGAGGTTGCAGTGAGCCAAGATCATGCCACTGCATTCCAGCCTGGGTGACAGAGTGAGACTCTGTCACAAAAAAAGAAAAAAATAATAATGGCAACAGGAGAAGGAAATTCTGTTCAACTTCAAATACACCAAAGAGAGCTGAAGATAGCCAATGGGCAGAATGCAGGGGGCACGGTAAGTGGATGAAAAATTACTAAGAGGAGATATCCAGGGTGGGGGGATTGTTGCTATACCAACAGGATTCTTGCTGAGGGCAGGCCAGAGTGATCAGATACTAAGGGTGGGAAGACTCTTGCTAAATGGACTTAGCAGGATTCTTGTTAAAACTAAGGTCTAGGTTGGGTACAGTGGCTCACACCTTTAATTCTAGCACTTTGGGAGACTGAGGTGGGAAAAACTGTTTGTACCCACGAGTTCCAGACTAGCCTGGGCAACAAGGTGAGATTGCTGTCTCTATAAAACAATTAAAAAAAAATCAAGTAGATGTGGTGATGCACACCTGTGGCCCCAGCTATTTAGGAGGCCAAGGTAAGGGGATTGCTTGAGCCAGGGAAGCTGAGGCTGCAGTGAGCCATGACTGCACCACTGCACTCCAGCCTGGGTGACAAAGTGACACCCAATCTCAAAAAAACACCCCCCAAAACAAAAAAAAATCCAAGAACAACCACCCCCCCCCCACCCAAAACAAACAAACAAACAAAACTAATGGACTTAGAAGGATTCTTGTCAAAACTGAGCCAGACAGGCAGAACACAAGTCCCAAATGACAAGGCCTAATCAAAAGGAGAGCTTGGAGGAACCTGTATAAAGTTTGGTTAAGGAGAGTCTCTGTCAGTACAAGATGTAAAACAATTAGTGGTGGCACTTAATAAGTCATCAGTCAATCCAAGGGATTCTGTCAATCCTAGTGAATACTTTTTTTTTCCCCCATGATATGTGGTTTTCTTTTTAATTGTCTTAAGTTTTATGATCACACATAATTTTTAAATTTGTATATATCTCCTCTACTTTAATTCTTCTTTTAAGTTGGCAAAAGCACCATTCCCAATCACAAACACACAGCAGTTCTACAGTTTTGTTTCTGAATGGTTGTTTAAAGACAATCCTAAATTATACCTTACTTTGACTTAGATTGTAAAGAATTCAAGAGTGAAGTTTAATTGGCTACTATTTTAAAAGCATGTGACCTTATAGATCATCTATAAAATGTGTTAAGTGTTAAATAATTTTTGATATTACACATAAACCACAATAAAATGCCTTTCAATAAGTAAAAGGAACCATTTTAAATACAGCAAATTCTAATTAGACCGGCATAGTTAAAGCCAAAAATATAAAGTAGCAATTGCTACCCATTTATCTTCAACCTTTGCCTTTAAGAGGCAAATGAACACAAAACACTGGTGACTCTTGCTTGGTTCTGAGACTCTAAAGGAATTTCTCCCATATTTAAATATATTCACATAACCAGTTATATAAATCTAAATATAAAACCAATCTCCAGTGAGTTTTAAGATGGCACCCACCATCTGTGAAAAGTTTAACATTACTAACGAAGTCTAATCATATCTTTAGAAAGGGTAAACAGTGATAGCATTTACTAAATTGAAATTACTACTAAAATTCAAAAACTGAACATATTCATTTAACCACAAGCCAGTCTCAGTTTTAAATCAGAACTGCCCAACAAAATATTCTGTCAGTCATTCATGACGTAAATTCCGGTGTATGAGATCTATTAAAGTACGGTACACATACAAAAGTCATGAGACATTTGTTTTGCAATAAATAAGGCAGTGGCTAATTATTATTCATTAGTAGCTTTTTTGAGACAAGCTACCAGATCTGCCTTTTCTCCCTTCTTAATGCTGACAAAAATAATTTTTTTCCCGGGATGTACTTCTTGGGATTCTCCAAATACTCCATCAGTGTATCCTCTCCCCAGGTGATGCCTCTGTTCTTACTGGTGTTAGCATAAGAGAATCCAGCGGCCTGACCTTTCTTCTGCCCAGAGACCACGGAGACGAGGCCCAGTCTTGCGCTTGCCTGCCTCTTCCAAGGTGTGGCCCTGAACAAAAATCCTCTTGCCTTTCTCAACATCACCCATATTTAATTCTCTTTTCTCGTCGCTAGCGCGACAAAGGTTACCGCTCAGAATCCAGACGTCCCACTCTCCTGGTGGATACTTTTTAGCCCTCATTTTGCTTGACATTTTAGCAGCTTTCCAGTGTTGATTACACCTTCATTGAAACATCTGGTGACAGTGTACTTGGGCTTGCCTTCTGTTTCCTAGTTAATCCACCTCTTCCTATCTTTAAAAAAATGTTGGAATTCTTCAAAGATGGATCCCACCCGGTAAATGAGTTCAATGACTATCTAAGGCTAATCAGCCTAGGTTTTCAAAACTAGCCTAGACTTGTCCAGCGCTCCAAATCAATATATTGAACTGCTTCTATCTACCCTTGGTTATCTCACAGGTACCCCCAAATCAAAATGCACAAAATCAAACTCATGATCTCTTCTCTGCTGACCCAAAATAAAACCCATGATTCTCCAGTGATCCCTACCTGAGTGAAAGGCAGCAATACAAGCTAGAAACCCAGGGAGACACCCTTGACCTAACATTCTCCTTGCCATCCTTTAATCTTTCCTTCATTCCCCGACTTCCAGTTCAATCCCCACCCCCAACAACTTTTCTCCTATCTTTCCCCCTTTCTCCATTTCTGCTGCCATCTATCCTAACCCAAGCCACTGCAATCTCTTGCTTCAACAATGGTCTTAAGTGATTCTCTTCCTCCAAATGATCCTCCACACTGCTATCAGAGTCGTATTTTATTTTATTATTATTATTTTTTGAGACAGAGTCTTGCTCTGTTGCCAGGCTGGAGTGCAGTGGCGTGATCTCGGCTCAGTGCAACAAGTTCTGCCTCCCGGTTCAAGTGATTTCCCTTCCTCAGCCTCCTTAGTAGCTGGGACTACAGGCACGCACCACTACACCTGGCTAATTTTTTAAATTTTAGTGGAGATGGGGTTTAACCAGGTTGGCCAGGATGGTCTCCATCTCTGGACCTCGTGATCCACCACCTCAGCTTCCAAAGCGTTGGGACTGCATGCGGAGCCCCGCCCAGAGTAGTATTTTAAGTATGCAAATCTGATCATGACATTCCCCAGCTTAACGTTTTCCTACAATCAACAAAGTCCTGCATGTTTTGACCCGGCCTGCCCTGCCCACCTTATCTTCTTTCTTTCCCAGTCATTTCTTTTCTTTTCTTCTTTTTCCTTTTTTTTTTTTTTTTTTTTTTTTTTGAGACAGGGTCTTGCTCTGTCATCTAGGCACAACTATGGCTAACTGCAGCCCGGACCTCCTGGGCTCAAGCGATCTTCCAGCCTAAGCCTCTGGAGTAGCTGGGACTACAAGCATGTACCACCACCACTGGCTAATTATTTCAAAAAATTACAGTACAGATGAGGTGTTGCTATGTTGCCCAGGCTAGTCTCCAACTTCTGGGCTCAAGCTATCCTCCCTCCTTAGCCTCCCCAAATGCTGGGATTACAGGTGTGCACCACCGTGCCTTCCCTCCTAGCCATTTTGTTCAGTTTCACAGGCTTTCTGGTCCCTCAAGGCCTTTACTGAGTTCAGCCTGTAGAGAATGCTTCTTTCTTCCCACTGAAACTTACCCCAATCTATTTCCCTCAGACCTCTTTCCAAAAACTACTTCCTCAAAGAAACCTCTGTGACCCTTGGAGAAAGGTTACTTGTTTTCACAGCATCCTGCACTTCTCTCTCAAGCACTTATAACTATAACCAACCAAGTAATCACGAAACCAGCTGTCTTAATATTCATCTTCTTTGCTGCAAGTAAACTCAATACATGTAGAGACAGACTGTCTTGTACTCCAGTGCCTACCAGCATATTTGATACACAGGAGCACAAAAACCATTTTCTGAATGATTGTATGATTATGTGCATGCTGGACTAAAAAGGCAGCAATACTTTTAACATTAAACTTAACATGTTTAACTTCTTTTTGTGTTTTCAAATTACTCGACAAATTACATGAGAAAAACGAAATTTCTTGAAAGTTAAATCTGACTATACTAAATTATATTAAAAGTCTATCACATAAAATTCACTTCCACAGGATTTAACTGTAAAACAAGCATGTTAGATTAAATATACCCGTTTTAGAGATGAAAACAAAATTGAAGTGGCATAAATCACGCATTTTTTTTTTTTTTTTTTTTTTGACAGAGTCTTGCTCTGTAGCCCAGGCAGGAGTGCGGTGGCGGGATCTCGGCTCACTGCAACCTCTGCCTCCCAGGTCATAGTTAAGCAATGATGCTCTTGGTTAGGCAATTCTCCTGCCTCAGCCTCCCGAGTAGCTGGGATTACAGGCGTGCACCACCACGCACAGCTAATTTTTGTATTTTTCGTAGAGACGGAATTTCACCATATTGGCCAGGCTGGTCTTGAACTCCTGACCTCGTGATCTGTCCGCCTCTGCCTCCCAAAGTGCTGAGATTACAGGCGTGAGCCACCGCGCCCGGCAATTCATCGATTAATATAAAGAAAACAATTCTTAGAATTCAATTCTCTTGGCGGTATTTTTCCTGCATTCTAGCTATTTTCCATGCAGGGAAATTTTTACCTGAAACATAGATTTCCCCAAAATAAAGATATCACAAAAACTGATGTAAATATAGCTAAGTCTTTTATTTCCAATAGTTTGAAGTTTTAATTATGTGCATTTGGGCTTAAGTAGATTCTCAGGTTATAAAAAAGATGTCAACCAAAGCAAGCCACTCAACTTTAAACTTTCACTTTATGACATCACTAGAGATTTCATTTTACATGTCGCTTTCCCCCAGTTTTTAAATGCCCTCTGGACTTACAAATATCAGATGACATACGGCGCCCACCCCATTTTTTCACAGCAGCCTACCAAGCAGATGAAGTCCTTCACTTACAAGGAACGGCAGTGGGCGACCGCTCCGTCCTGTCTGAGGGTTTTCTGTTTTTCTTAGAGATCCCCTTGCCCAAGGGTCAGATGCTCTGGCTGGTTTTAGGGATGAATTACAACCACGTGTGCAACACCCACGTTTCTGGTAATGACGGTGCTAGGAAACGAAGCGACCATCGTTGCTACTTACTCTACAAACGCCCTGGAGCAAAGGCACAGGATCTTACATTCCTCCTCCCGGTCCTCCAGGAAGAGACACATTTCCGCCACGCGGCTCCACTTCTCGCAGCACATTTCACCACTGTGGAGGCAGCTCTGCCGCAGACAGCCCGGGTCGCGCCTCCCGGGCCTCGGCCGCGCTCCTGCAGACCTAAAGGAGGCCTCGCCAGCAAGCCCGGGATGACGAGTTAGGAAGCAGCCCGGGGAGCCAGCCCGCACGCCGCCGCCGCCGCCGCCGGAAGTGGATCCGCGCGGCCACGGGAAGGGGCGGGACCACGGGCGGTGTCACCCACATCGCGGCCCGGGCTGCAGCCTCCGCCTGCCTTCTTCCGCACGGGTTGCTTAGGCGGGCTCCGCCGCGCACATCTGCCCGCCCCTTCGGCCGCGGAGCCCCCGAAGAGCTCCGGTCGCCGCTCCAGGGTAAAGGAGAGCTGCCCCTGCCCCCGCCTATCCGAGGTGCGTCGGTCCTCGCGCTCCTTCAGCCCGGCGTCGGGGCTCGCGGGGTTGGGACCGGCGGAGGCCGCGCGCGGCCAGGCTCCCGGGAGCCGCCTCGGAGCCCCGTCTCGGTGCGGCCGGGCTCGCTCTCCCGCCGGGCTCCGTCCTCCACCCGGGCGCCAGCGCGGCCGCGGCCGGAGAGCCTCCCTCGCCTGGGTCGGACGAACCCGCTCTCCGCGCCCCTCTCCTCCCGCGCTCCGAAACCTTGAGTTCGGCGCGTTTCCTCCTAACGCCGCTGCTGGGGCGAGGCGTCTTCAGCCTCGCCGAAGGCCCCTCGGCTTGCCCGGTGGCTCCGCTGGTTCCGGGACCCACGTGGAGCCTCTGGCGTAAAAGCCGAGGGCAAGTGTGCGGGGATCCCGAAAACGTAGGGGGGAGGCCGTGTGGGTAGAGCGTTCGCATCCAGACCCAGCAGGCTTGGAATCCTGGTCCTACCCGCGGGACCTGGGCAGGCTACACCTTTCTGAGCCTCACTTTGATCATCTGTGAAATGGGGATGATGAATAGTAACTACGACCGGAGGCCGCAGGGAGGGCTGAACGAAGCAATGTATATCACACCTTTCCTTTGTGCTATTAATAGTTTGAGTCGGTTTGGACCTTGTAGGCGCCAAGCCCTGCCTCCGTCCCTGGGGTTTGCAGCCAGTAAAACAGGTCTCTGCCTTGAAGTTGCTAATTAATAAGCAAAATACGTTCATGTGCACGTAAATAGGATGGAGAAAGTGGGAACAGCAGCACGGCTGGATCTGAAAAAAGCCATTGGTATTTGGCATGTGGTATTCATGGACGCTGCACGGGCAGCTTCTTCAAAGAGACAAGCTCAGACTTGAAAGTTGTAGCGCTTAGGACGTGGTTTGTGCTACGAAATGTCAAAATAGTATTGGTACTTCTTTAGAACGATATAAAAACTGAGCTAAAACTCAGATTTTGAATGGTCGCTAGTAGTTTCGCCACGTTTGCTAGTTAGTCTTTCAAATGTTTATTCATTTGCTGTATTCATCCTTACTGCTGCCCTGCTTTGAGGTCGGAGATAGGCTGATTTTGGTGATTCAAGAAGGTGAGAGTGCCGCACAGTTACAGATACACCGGCGTAGATGTGCAGCATTACTGGGATGAGTAGCTGGCTTATAAGGGTAGAACAGTAATTATGAAATAGAATGGAAGATTTTAGCTAGAAGTTGGGCATTCTAGGATTGAAAAAAAAAAAAAGTCTTGAAGGGTAATTTGTGTCAGAACCTCGAGTTTAAAGCTTGAAATCAAAAAGGTATTAAAGCTAAAAGGATTAGATTTATCAGCTATCTTGACAATATTAAACTGCAGCTTTATTCATGAATTGAAGAAGGCTTATTCAATAAAACTGAGTGCTGTGCCCCTATTAAACCATTATTAAATATACAGAAAGGAAACAGGAAAACTTGTATTTCTGTGACTATGTGTTTTAGTTGGCATTTTCAGAATGTTCTCAACGTGGCTTATATACTGAAAGTAGAATGGAAAAGTACTGGTAATAGGTGTTCAAAATAGATATACTTTCTTTTTTTTAAATTTATTATTATGATGATGATTATTGTTTGAGACAGGGTCTTGCTCTGTTGCCCAGGCTGGAGTGTAGTGGCGTGATCTTGGTTCACAGCAACCTCCACCTCCTGGGCTCAAGCAATCCTCCCACCTCAGCCTCCAGAGTACCTGGGGCTACAGGCATGCCACCATGCCCATCTAATTCTGTGTGTGTGTGTGTGTGTGTGTGTGTGTGTGTATGTGTGTGTACATGTGTTTTGTAGAGACAAAGTTTTTCGCTGTTGCCCAGACTGGTCTTGGGCTCAATTGATTTGCCTGCCTCAGCCTCCCACAGTGTTAGGATTATAGGCATGAGCCACTGAGTCCAGCCTAAAATAGATACAGTTTTTTAAGGTTTTGTTGAAAACCAAAAAGTTCTCTGTTCTGATTTATTAGTTTTTGAAATACTCTGATTTTAAACGTCTATAAGGTCCATCCATTATCCTCACCATCACAGTCAATATGATGATATTTGAGCTTGTCAACTTTCTTTTTTTTGAGAAGGTGTTTCATTCTTGTTGCCCAAGCTGGAGTGCAGTGGTGTGATCTCAGCTCACTGCAACCTCTGCCTCCCAGGTTCAAGTGATTCTTCTGCCTCAGCCTCCCGAGTAGCTGAGATTACAGGCATGAGCCCAAACCCAGCTAATTTTGAATTTTTAGTAGAGACGGGGTTTCACCATGTTAGGCTGATCTCGAATTCCCAACCTCAGGTAATCTGCCTGCCTCGGCCTCCCAAAGTGCTGGGATTACAGGCATGAGACACTGCTCCTGGCCTTCTCAAGTTGTTTTTACAAAAGTTACATGATTGCCAGATGGGGAAATTAAGATACTTCGTATGTGAGGCATAAGACTGTTTATTTTAGATTTGTAGAGGCAGGGGACTATAAAAAATAACCTGGAATTTTGGTAACTAAAATATTGTATTTCCCCCAAAACACCTTCTAATACATATAATACATAAGGCTTATTTTTTCCCTCTGAGATGGGGTCTTACTCTGTTCCCCAGGCTGGAGTACAGTGGTGTGATCATTATAGCTCACTGTAGCCTTGACTTCTCAGGCTCAAGCAATCCTCCTGCCTTGGCCTCCCAAGTAGCTGCAACTACAGGAACGTGCCACCATACCTGGCAAAGTTTTAATTTTTTGGTAGAGACAGTGTCTCCCTACGTTGTCTGCAGGCTAATCTCAAGCTCCTGAACTCAAGCAGTCCTTCCTTCTGTCTTGGCCTAGAAACATGTTGGGATTACAGGCATGAGCCACTGGGCTCAGCCCATATCATTTTTCTTGGATTAAAATAAAGTGATAAGGAGTCAGTTACATCCCAAGGTAAATTGAGGGGGAAGGAGAAAGGCCAGGCAAAAGTATAGGGTAGACAGAAATTGTAATCTTAATATTTTCAGTCTTTCTGTCGAGAGAAAAAGAGAGCTATATCAAAGAAAGTGTAGTGGAAAGCAGACTAGGAGGTAAGAGGACTAGATTTTAATTTTAGCTCTTGGCTTTTACTGAATTAATGTAGTAACTTTGAACAAATAAACTTGGCTTTCTGTGTTTAGTTTTTTTGTTATCTGTACAATTAAGAAGTTGCATTCATTGAGATTTAAAGACACTTTGTCATACTGTCAAAAGTAAGTGCTGTATTTTATCCACTGAAAAGCATTTTATTAAAATTCCTGTGATCGTTCTCTAGTATCAGGTTTTAGGATGCTGTCTTGATCCACATTTTTGTTAAAGATTTAGATGAGGCTGAGAATGGTGGCTCATGCCTGTAATCCAAGCCCTTTGGGAGGTAAAGGCCAGTTGATCACTTGAGGCCAGGAGTTCCAGACAAGCCTGGCCAACATGGTGGAACCCCATCTCTAATAAAAATTCAAAAATTAGCTGGGTGCAGTGGTGCTTCCCTGTAGTCCCAGCTACTTGGGGAGACTGAGGTATGAGAATTGCTTGAACCTGGGAGGTGGAGGTTGCAGTGAGCTGAAATTGAGCCACTGCAGTCTAGCCTGGGTGACAGAGTGAGACTCTGTCTCAAAGAAAAAAATTTAGACAAACACAGTTCTTATGTATTTTTAGCCAGCATTTTTTAGGTGCCTACTTTGTGCCAGGAAGTATTCTAAGTGTTTTACATATGTTTTCGCAGATACTACCTATTTTATTTACTGATATATTTAGAATAGTGTCTGGCACAAACTTTTCAGGGCCATCCACCTATACACTGTATCCTGTCCCCTTTGGCCTAGTCAAGGACAGAGCTCTAACAATTAGCTCCTTTCCTACATCATCCGTTTCTCACTCTCCATTGACAAATTATCATTGACATTGAACATGGCTGTATTTCCTCCTACCCTTTTTTTTTTTATTTTTTTTTTGAGATGGAGTCTCAGTCTCACTCTGTCCCCAAGGGTGGAGTGCACTGGCAGAATCTCCGCTTACATAACCTCTGCCTTCTGGGTTCAAGCAATTCTGTTGCCTCAGCCTCCCGAGTAGCTGAGACTACAGGTGTGCACCACCATGCCTAGCTAATTTTTGTATTTTTAGTAGAGACAGGGCTTTACCATGTTGGCCCGGCTGGTCTTGAACTCCTGACCTGAAGTGATCCAGCCGCCTTGGCCTCCCAGAGTGCTAAGATTACACATGTGAGCCACTGTGCCCAGCTTTTTTTTTTTTTTTTTTTTTCCTAAAAGACAGAGTCTCTTCCTCTGTCACTGCAGCTGGAGTGCAGTGGCTCAGTTTCAGCTTACTGCAGCCTCTACCTCCCAGGCTCAAGTGATCCTCCCCCTTGAGCCTCCTGAGTAGCTGGGACCACTGGTGCATGCAACCATGCCCAGCTAATTTTTAATTTTTATTTTATTTTAATTTTTTGCGTGGAGTCTCAAATTTTTTGAGTAGAATCTCACTCTGTCATCCAGGCTGAAATGCAGTGGTGTGATCTGGGTTCACGGCAATCTCCGCCTCCTGGGTTCAAGCCATTCTCATGCCTCAGCCTCCCGAGTAGCTGGAATTACAGGCATATACCACCACGCCTGGCTAATTTTTGCATTTTTAGTAGAGATGGGGGTTTCACCATGTTGCCCAGGCTGTTCTCGAACTTCTGGCCTGAAGTGATCCGCCAGCCTTGGCCTCCCAAGGTGTTGGGATTACAGCTGTGAGCCACTGCATCTGGCCTAAATTTTTTTTTTTAGAGACGAGGTTTTACTGTATTGCCTGGCTGGTCTTTAACTTCTAGGTTCAAGCGATCCTCCTGCCTCAGTCTCCCAAAATGCTGAGATTACAGATGTGAGCTACCATACCTGGCCTCTATCTTAAAGCAGCAGCAGCAGCAATAGCAAGAAACTACTCACCTATATTCTCTTCTAGATGCCCACCTGTTTCTTTCCTCCTTTGTGAGTTGTTTATATTTGCTGTTTCTAATTCATTTCTTCCCATTCATTCTTGAATTTCAAGGGTAAAGGGGAGCTGCTCCTGTCTTCTCCTGTCCAAAGTGTATTTTTCCCCGCTATACTAAAACAGCTCTTATCAGCATTTGCCAGTGTCCTCTGTGTTGTAAAAATCCAGTGATCAATTATTCTTTCTTTCTTTTCTTTTTTTTTTTTTTAAAGCTGTCTCCTACAGGAAGGAAATGATCTTCTCTTACCTTGCTAGGCCTGTCAGCAGCATTTAAAACAGCAGAATATGCCTTCCTTCTTGAAGCTCTTTCTTACTTTCCTGATACTATTCCTGGAAGGAGGAAGCTGGCTTGTCATTGACTTCTCAAATTCTAAAATGTTGGGTGTCTCAAGACTCAGTCCTGGAAATTCTTGAGACGGAGTTTCGCTCTTGTTGCCCAGGCTGGAGTGCAGTGGTGCTGCGATCTCAGCTCACTGCAACCTCTGCCCCCCGGGTTCAGGTGATTCTTCTGCTTCAGCCTCCTGAGTAGTTGGGTTTACAGTCATGCACCACCACGCCTGCCTAATTTTGTATTTTTAATAGAGATGGGGTTTCTCCATGTTGGTCAGGCTGGTCTCAAACTCCTGACCTCAGGTGATCTGCCTGCCTCAGTTTTCCAAAGTGCTAGGATTACATGTGTGAGCCATCACACCTAGCTGGAAATTCTTTTCTACTCTATAGTTGTTCCTTGAAGGGATCTTCTTTAATTCCATGTTTAAATATTGTCTACATGCTACCAATTCCTAGATTTATATCAAGCTGTCCACTTACACACTGTATCCTACTCCTGACCTTCCTGTTAAACTGCTGATTGCCTACTTAATGTCTTCACTTGGACGCCCAGTAAACATCTTAAACTTAACATGCTTAAAATGGAATCCTGATCTCCATCCCACCCTGAAACCTGTTATTCTTACAACTTCATTTTTTTCACAAGCCAGCCCAAAAAATGTTTTTTTTCCAAGTGCAGTTTGTAGAGATGTAGAAAACAGTAGCACATTTTTAGCTGAATGAGTTAGCATGATAGAGCTACCAAAAAAGCTGCTGGGATTCTGTGAATGATAGTGATAGCAAACATGTAAGGTATTGTTCTAGGCCCTTTACACAGATTAGCCCATTTAATCACAGTAATCTTATGAGGTAGATAGGATTATTATCCTAGTTTTACAAATTTTTAGCAAACCAAGGCACAGGTTTTGCTGGTGTTCTCACTGTCAAATAACTGGAGTTCTCAGTATCAGATAACTGGAGTCAGCAACATGGGGTGGTCTTGTGTGCTGAAACGTTGAGAAACCAGGGTCTGAGAGGTGGTTGAGAGAATTAAGGATTCTGACTGAAGAAGGAATTTTGTGGCTCATAGCAGCTGTTTTTAAACTTACAGTGTTGTTTAATGGAAGAGGGTCTGTGGTTCAGAACTCCGTCCAGTAGGGAAAAGTTACAGGGAAGTAAGTATAAGGAAGACCTTTTTAGTAGTTCTGGTGAATGGTTGTGAAGAGTGAATGGGACACCTTTTGTTTCTGTTCTGAGAGGGTTTAAATGAAAATAAAGTTTGAATGACCATTTGTGGCCTGGGTTCTTACGTACAGCAGTGTTAAGGGACTACTAGGTCTCACAAAGCTTTCCATGTAGCCCACTCACTGGATCGCTGCCTGTACTGTGCCCCTTTTCTTGTTACTGTGTTCCTTAAGTATGTATAATCAGTCAGAATGTAGATTAAGAGGATAAGAGCTGTAATTCTAGTACCAGTTTGTCTGGGAAGGTCTGAAACAAAGTTTTTAAATCACAGAATTCGGCCTGGTGCTGTGGCTCACAACTGTAATATCAGCACTTTGGGAGGCCGAGGCAGGCAGATGATGTGAGGCTGGGAGTTAGCGACCAGTCCAGCCAACATGGTGAAACCCCGTCTAAACTAAAAATAGAAAAATTAGCCGGGTGTGGTGGTGCACATCTGTAATTCCAGCTACTTGGGAGGCTGAGGCACGAGGATCGCTTGAACCCAGGAGGTGGAGGTTACAATGAGCCACTATACTGTAGTCTAGGTGGCACAGTAAGACTCTGTCTCCAAAAAAAAAAAAAAAACCCAGGACTTTACTATTCAGATAAAAATTGGAAATTTGACTAGATTATTGTAGGAAAGTTTATTAACTAGTTAGGGTCAGATCATAAAAATGCTGATTCGTTTTCAGGGCTGGGAAAAGCTGCTTTTAACATATATGAGGGTTATATATTTTGTTAATTTATTAACAATATTTAAAAGCTCTTTGAGATATAATTAACCATAATATTCACTATTTAAGTGTCTAGTTCAGTGGTTTTTAGTGTATTTACATTTTCATTATCCCAGAGATACCTCTGTTTTTCCCATTTTCCTTCACTCTTCATTTTCCATCACTCTTCATTTTCCTCTCCCAGCCCTGACAACCACTTAATTTTGCTGTCTCTATGGATTAGCCTGCTCTGAGTATTTAATATAAATGGAATCATATAGTATGTCACTTTTGCGTCTGGCTTTTCTTACTCAGTGCAGTGTTTACAGGGTTCATCCATGCTGTAGCAGGAACCAGTACTTCATCCTTTTTAAGGTTGGATAGCATCCTATTATATGTATATGCCACATTTTGTGTATCCACTCAGTCGTTTCTACTCTTTGGCTGTTATGAATAATGCTGCTGTGAACATTTGTGTACAGATTTATGTGTGAATATATATTTTCAGTCGTTTTATGGGTGTGGAATTGCAGGGTCATATGGTAACTTTATGTTTAGCTTTTTGAGGAATTGCCACAGCATTTTACATTCCCATGAGTAGTATATGAAATTCTAAATTCTCTACATCATCATCAAAAACTTGCTATTTTTCAATTTTGGCTATTCTCTGTAGCTATTCTAGTGGGAAAAGCTCTCATTTTATAAAGTATTAAATTTTGGCTGGGCGCGATAGCCCACGCCTGTAATCCCAGCACTTCGAGAGGCCAAGGTGGGTAGATCACTTGAGGTCAGGAGTTCAAGACCAGCCTGAACAACACAGCTAAACTCCTTGTCTATTAAAAAAAAAAAAAAATTAGCCAGGCGTGGTGGTACGCACCCTGTAGTCCCAGCTACTTGAGAGTCTGAGGTAGGGGAATCACGTAATTACTGGAGGCAGAGGTTACAGTGAGCCGAGACTGTGCTATCGCACTCCAGTCTGGGCAACAGAGCGAGACTCCATCTGAAAAATAAAATAAAAAATAAATACATAAAAAGTATTAAAATTTGCTTTGTTTCATTTTAAATGATCAAACGTGGGTAAATTATAGTGATTTGACTTTTTAGATGGATTGATTAAAATATGATGTCAATAAAGCCCAAGTTGTGGGGTCCATGTTTGCTATGTTATCTCCTATTACCATAACAGGCTCAGATTTCTCACAAGTAAATGCTACTGTTTACATGGAAGTTAGATGAAATGTTTCATCCCTGGGAGAACAAGTCAGTGTTTGCCCTCCTAATAAGCCAATTAGCAAGATAAACTTAGAATAAAAACTATGTTTTTCTTATATGTACATCTCTTCCTCTCCTTTCATCCTTTTCTCTCATTTATTCATTTTTTGCCTCAGCTACAAAGGACTTGAGATAATTTTCATTAAGATTATATAGTACAGAATAATGATAAAATAGCTCTCAGGGCAGAATCAGAGTCAAAGAAAGTATGGAGAAGGGAAATCTTTTTTTTTTTTTTGAGACGGAGTTCCACTCTTGTTACCCAGGCTGGAGTGCAATGGCGCGACCTCGGCTCACCGCAACCTCTGCCTCCTGGGTTCAGGCAGTTCTCCTGCCTCAGCCTCCTCAGTAGCTGGGATTACAGGCACGCGCCACCATGCCCAGCTAATTTTTTGTATTTTTAGTAGAGATGGGATTTCACCACGTTGACCAGGATGGTCTCGATCTCTTGACCTCGTGATCCACCCGCCTCGGCCTCCCAAAGTGCTGGGATTACAGGCTTGAGCCACCATGCCCGGCCTAGGGAAATCTTTTGTAGGAAAATATTATCATAGGGCTAATATAATTGTATAATTGAATATTATGTTTCACATTTAGCTTATCTGGCAAAGTTACTAAAAAGAATCGTAGTCAGTTGCACATCTTCATACTTTTTCTCCTAAGAAGCAAAGCTTTTTAAGGTGGGGCTTTGTATAGTGGCACTAACAGTGTAGGGTTGTCCTCACTAAAGCAATGGTAGCATGAGTATACTTTTTAATTGTAGTATACCAGTGTAGGGCTATAATTATATTTCTCAAACATTTATGAATGTCTCTTGTTTGTTCTAACTCTAGGTATTAATGATTATCTTTGTTTTTCTTAGTCATTTATTTCTTACATTTGTGTACTGTGCTTTCCAGAATACAGACACTGAAGTTTGGGACTAGGTATTTATCTAACTTCTGGTAAGTCAAATGACTGTTTTAGAGAGTGAATTTGTAAAATAATTGTACAGCTGTATTTTCAGTCACGTAAGATTTAAGATAAAAACAGTACTGATAAATTTTTATTATTGCATAATGAACTTTTTTGTAAACCTATTTCTCTATAAAAAACAATACCCATAAAGGTATGTCATCATTTTCTAAATAATTGGGTTACTTTTATTGAATTAGAGACTGATGTTTTCTTTTGTGCATATTATCTCAGTATGGCTGGGCGTGGTGGACTGATGCCTGCAATCTCAGCACTTCAGGAGTGGTGTACCACTTGAGGTCAGGAGTTTGAGACCAGCCTGGTGAACATAATGAAACTCCATCTCTACTAAAAATACAAAAATTAGCCAGGCATGGTAGCACATACCTTTGGTCTCAGCTACTTGGGAGGCTGAGGCAAGAGGATCGCTTGAACCTGGGAGGTGGAAGTTGCAGTGACCAAGATCATCCCACTGTAACTCCAGCCTGGGTGACAGAGCAAGACTTCATCTCAAAGAAGGAAAAAGTTACCTCAGTATGACCTAGTTTAAGATCTAAGTGTTCAGCAGGATCCAATTAAGATATGAGTCAAATTATTAAAATCAATCTGAAATTGTGTTCCTCATCTGCTTTATTTTCTCTTAATTATAGCTTCATTTTCTTCTCTCAATTATACCTTTATGTTCCTTTCTTAATTATAGTGAATTATTTCAAAAACTGAACACGACATGCTTCATGAGCAGAGAGATGAATCCTTATAATTTTCACATTTAAATCTGCAACAAAGTTAACCATTAACCATCTATACATTTTTGATATTAAGAAATGACTCTGTATGCTATTTAAGACGACTAAAACATCCCAACTTTGTAGCCGCGGAGAAAATAATACTGGATTGTTTTTCCCTTCTAGTGTCAAAATTAACGACCTGCTATGGCAATGAAGAAAGAGACTGAATTTGTCATTTTCACCTAAAGAAAAATGATAGACCAAAATCAAACCTGTGGCGCAGGACAGGGCTCTGTGCCCTATATGATTTGTCTGATTCACATACTCGAAGAATGGTTTGGTGTGGAGCAGTTGGAGGACTATTTGAATTTTGCAAACTATCTCTTGTGGGTTTTTACACCACTAATACTTTTAGTACTTCCTTACTTCACTATCTTTCTTCTCTACCTTACTATTATTTTCTTACATATTTATAAGAGAAAGAATGTATTAAAAGAAGCCTACTCTCATAATTTATGGGATGGTGCAAGGAAAACGGTGGCCACTCTGTGGGATGGACATGCAGCAGTTTGGCATGGTAAGCAAGGATACTTTCATCTCTGTGTTCATGTGTGCTGCGTTGGAACTGTTGCCATTCCATTCTATTGACTGAGAAGATACCGAAAAATATAATAGAAGGGATGTTTGCTATTCCCTGTTATCTGTTTGCATGTATTGTGCATATGTATCTTTCTTAAAATGAGTTTTCCCCATAGACATTAGTTTTTATTAAACAACCACACAGCACTGTAGACTGTAAGTCGAAATATGAATATTTATGTTTAAAAGATCTAAAAGAGTAAGAGACGAATTACTGTAATTAAAACTATAGAAAACTGCTTTAAAAATGCTTCAATTATTTAGCATTTACTTCTGTTCAAAGTAAGTTTGACTTTACCAGTGTGGATTTTTAGAAATGAAGTGTTAAATAATATTACATTAAATATAATTTGCATACCAAAATGTAGCCATTTTCTGTTGATTCATTCCTGAGGTTGGTGTGTCTTAAGGATAGTCAATCTTTTCTTTATTACTCGAGAGATTTTGATATTGTATACTTAAAGATAAGTGGTTCTTCGTCGTTTGGACAGCATGAAAATTGCCCTCTGGTGACCTGTTTTTTAGGGTTTAATGTTTTACTCTACCAACTTTTGCTTCATTATACCATCAGTACCTAATTTGTTGGTCTCTTCTGTTTTTAGACTACCCAAAAATACTGAAGATTCAATAAGCATGTAACAAACATTGGCTTTCTGTATTATGTTGTTGGGCATCAAAGTAGTTTCACAGAAGGACGTAGAAGGAAGCACAGACTTTAAACTGACACTTGAGGATATTTATCACTGAAGTTTTAGGCTGCTATTAGCAAAAATCACCAGTGACATGCTTATTAGGCTAATGTGTTATTATTTTAATACTGCATACATTCTACGAACCTACACATTTTTTTTGTGAACCTGCTATGCCAGACACTATCAAATGCTTAACATAAATTAACTCCTTTAAATCTCATAACGTAATAGAGTGTATGTGCTACTCCTGTTTTACTCATGAGAAAACTGAGGCACAGAGAGGTGGTTATTTGCCCAAGAGATGGCATCTTGTTGCTGGGCATGGTGGCTCATGCCGGTAATCCTAGCACTTTAGGAGGCCAAGGCAGGTGGATTACTTGAGGTCAGAAGTTTGAGATCAGCCTGGCCAACATGGTGAAACCCTCTCTCTACTAAAGATACAAAAATTAGCTGGGTGTGGTAATGCATTACCTGTAATCCCAGGTACTTGGGTGGCTGAGACACAAGAATTGCTTGAACCCAACAGGTGGAGTTTGCAGTGAGCTGAGATTGCATCATTACACTCCAGCCTGGGCGACAGAGCAAGGCTCTGTTTCAAAAAAGAAAAAAAAAAAATTCTGGTCACAGTGGCTCACTCCTGTAATTCCAGTACTTTGGGAGATGGATCACCTGAGGTCGGGTGTTTGAGAACAGCCTGCCCAACATGGTGAAACCCTGTCTCTTCTAAAAATAAAAAATTAGCCAGGTGTGGTGGTGCACGCCTGCAATCCTAGCTACTACTTGGCAGGCTGAGGTAGGAGAATCGTTTGAACCCGGGAGATGGAGGTTGTAGTGAGCCGAGAATGCGCCACTGCATTCAGCCTGGGCGACAGAGAGAGAATCTGTCTCAGAAAAAAGAGAGAGAGACGGGGTCTCGCTCTTTTGCTCAGGCTGGCCTTGTGGGATGAAGTGATCCTCTCACCTTAGCCTTCTAAGTAGCTGTCACCACAGATGCATACCACTGCTTTCTGCTGGAGGAATTTTTTAAATTCTAAAAATGTTCATTGTGAAAAGTAGCAACCACAGGAAACTATAAGAAGAAAATAGGGCTGGGCGTGGTGGCTCAGGCCTGTAATCTCAGCAGTTTGGGAGGCCAATGCAGGTGGATCACCTGAAGTCAGTAGTTCAAGAGCAGCCTGGCTAACGTGGTGAAACCCCATCTCTAATAAAATTATGAAAATTAGCCAAGCATGGTGGCACACACCTGCAATCCCAGCTACTTGGGAGGCTGAGGCAGGAGAATTGCTTGAACCCGGGAGGCAGAGGTTGTAGTGAACTGACACTATGCCACTGCACTCTAACTTGGAGGATAGAGTGGGACTCAGTCTCAAAAGAAAAAAAAAGAATCACCTAAAATTTACCATTCGAGTTTTGTTATAGTATGTTTATCTTTTTTATATTTGTGGCAAACTAGTATTTTTTATGTCACTAAGCCTTCTTCATAAATATGGCTTTTAATGACTTTATGGAATTCTATAGTATAAATTCTATAAGTAATTTGATTACCTATTACTGAATAGTAATTTCTCTATAATTTTTTTACTTTTTAAAATAGTAAGTATCTTTGTATAAGAATCTATCCAATGTTTTCTATTTCAAAGTTGTTTTACATTCATACTATATATAATGTAAGTACACTGATTTTTTTGAAAAATTCTGTGATTCTTATATGCTATGTCAACTATCGCCCGTATTATATTGAGAAACATTAATTTGATATTTCTTTGTTTTTTTTTCTTTTAAGTTGATATTTCTTAAATACCTACATTTCTAGGTCATTTGTTTGTTGATGGGTGAATGAAATCCTTACTGTCAAATTGCTTACAGCCTTAAATCTATAACAATTTTGACTCATTTTTCAAAAATCGTTCTTGGAAAATATAACATTTTTCAAGCGGGACTCTCAATATTTGATAATTCTTCCTAGAAATTAATGTGACAACAAAGATTTTTCAATTAGATAGCCAGATGGTTTTGAGAGAATTAAAAATTGTGCATTTTAGCACAAATATAAAGGATTGAGTACCATAACTTTCACTTCAGGGATATAAGGAATATTTTGACTTTGGGACTTTTATTTGTTATTTATTTATTTATTATTTTATATTTTTGAGATGGAATCTTGCTCCGTTGCCCAGGCTGGAGTGCACTGGCATGATCTTGGCTCACTGTAACCTCTGCCTCCTGGGTTCAAGCAATTCTTGTGCCTCAGTCTCTGAGTAGCTGGAATCACAGGCATGCACCGCTACGTCCAAGTAATTTTGTATTTTCAGTAGAGAAGAGTTTTCACCATGTTGGCCAAGCTGGTCTTGAACTCCTGACCTCAAGTGATACATCTGTCTTGGCCTCCCAAGGTGCTGGGATTATAGGTGTGAGCCACTGTATCCTGCCACTTATTTGATTCTGTAGGTGTGTATTATTATGGTTTTGTTTTTGTTGTATAAGGGAATTTACCTCATTGTCTGAAAATAATGCTTGTGCTTACTTAATACCAGTATAACTTGTTCAGTTTATTTAGAATATAAAATTTTGGGGAAATGCAGTGGTTTGATTAATGAGGTAGTTTATTATATGGGTTAGTGATTTAAGGAAAATAGACTACAATAGCAGAAATTTTCTTTTACTTCGTATTTTTTAATTTTTTTAAAGAAATGGTCACATTCAGAAGGGTCCTATAGGTTTAACTATACGTAGCAAAATTTGGGGGGAAAAATGAAATTGAGACATCAAGAAAACCTTCGTCTCTACTTCAGTTGGATGAGAGTTTCCTTTCATCTCTTCTGTCCTTCATGCAGTGAAGGATTCAGTCAGACTACCTGCTGTCAAAACCAGGCTCTCCCCTGAGTTACTGGCTGTATGACCTTGGTTAAGTTACTTAACTTTTTCTTCTTCCTCTTCTCCTATTCTTCTGCAACAATTATGATTTTTAAAAAATTTAATCTAGAACTACAGAGAAGTTGCAAAAATAGTTCTGAGAGTTCCCATATATTCTTCACCGAGCTTCTGCTAATGTTAGCATGTTATATATCCATGGCACAATGATCAGATTCACAGTGTACAATACGATTATCTAAACTACAGATTTTACTCAGATTTCATAATTTTCCCACAAGTGTTTTTTTCCAAGATTTCCTATTGTATTTAGTTGTCATGTCTCCTCCAGTCTGACAATTCCTTAATCTTTTTGTCTTTCACGATCTTGGTGCCTTTGAAGAGTACTGGTCAGTAATTTGGTACACTCTCTCAGTTAAGATTTGATGATTTCCATGAGTAGGTTCGAGTTGTTTATTTTTGAAAGAATACCACAAAAATAATAATGTGTCCTTCTCAATGTATTATATTGGAAGGTTCGTATCTGATGTTTCTTATTACTGGTGATATTAACTTTGATCACTTGGTTAAGGAGGTGTCTGCCAGGTTTCCCTATTGTAAAGCTACCTCCTTAAATTAGATACTTAGCTTTTCTGAACTGCGTTTTTTTCTTTCTGCTAAATGGGTTGCTATAAGGATTCAGTGAATTTCATGTAAAGTGTTTAGCATAACTTCTATTACATACATTTCAATGAATGATAGCTATCATAATTACAGAGCACCCTTTTCAGTAATTTGGAAAGCACTAAAATACATAATCTGCCAGGTATGGTGGTGCATGCCTGTAGCCACAGCTACTCAGGAGACTGAAGCAGAAGCAGAAGAATCCCTTGAGCCTACAGTTTGAGGCCATACTGTGCTATGATCATACCTATAATAGCCACTGCACTTCAGCTTGAACAACATAGCAAGAACCTGTCTTTGTGAGGAAAAAAAGTACATCTTCTGCCTCTTGATCATTATTAAGTTCAATTTACCACGCATACCATGTCCAAGGTCCCTAGGATATTCCGAATGTAATTTTAGATTGTCAATTTTTTTTTTTTTTGAGACGGAGTTTTGTTACCCAAGCTGGAGTGCAATGGCGCGATCTCGGCTCACCGCAACCTTCACCTCCTGGGTTCAGGCAATTCTGCTGCCTCAGCCTCCTGAGTAGCTGGGATTACAGGCACGTGCCACCATGCCCAGCTAATTTTTTGTATTTTTAGTAGAGACGGGGTTTCACCATGTTGACCAGGATGGTCTCGATCTCTTGACCTCGTGATCCACCCGCCTCTGCCTCCCAAAGTGCTGGGATTACAGGCTTGAGCCACCGTGCCCGGCCGATTGTCAATTT